TTGTAGGTATCTCCAGAACGGCTGCATGGATCTCGATGAAATTTGACATACAATTAGAACACATAGGCTACTATTTTTTTTATTCCGCGCGGACGGAGTCGCAGGCGATAGCTAGTATTGCTATAAAGCAAATTAATTGGTTTTAAAGTACTAAACACTAATAGCTTAGAAAATAAGGCTATTACTTAGCCTGAGATTTACTTGACCGTTCTTAATAAATAATCTGAGACACGTTAGGCAGGCGATATCTATTAATAGTGATTTTATATTAATGGCAACCTCCAGACAAAGTCACCTCTACACATTTATAATTATCTCACGTAGATTATACACTAGGAGCTTGAACTTAATTTTCTGTTTGTAGATAATTACAGGTTGATGTGTTAAAACGTTTAACATTAGATTAGCTACCAACCATTTTGTTTAATGACGTCATCTTTAATCTCATCAAATAATCAGTCAATCTTCAGTCAATGTCTGTTATTTCGATGAATACACAAATCATTTCACATCTCGAGTGTTTTATTTAAGCATATTATAGAATGTCAGGTTTATAATGATCCAATTATTATTAAGTGTCCCCTCTTGGTTTAAGTGTGCACTTAAAGCTTAATATACTTAATATTTGTACGTTAATTTAAGTATAAAACAAACATATTTTATAATTGGTGGCGAAATGCATAATGCTATTATATTTTAAACCAACCAAAAAGTCTTTGATAATAATTTATGGCTAAATTTTGACATATTACCGACCACTAGGTCATAAGACTTTAGTTTTCAAGACGGGCAGAGATTATTATTTTAAAATGTTACTTTAATACAAACGTTTGGTTACGGATCGCGAAATCCTTTAAATAGCGCCACCGCTGGTGCTGGGGCATTGTGCGAGTGTCGGTCAGGAGGGCTGCGGCCTGGGGGCTCCGGGGCCACATTAGTCGGCCGTATTTCACGAGCCGCCCGCCGAGGTGAGAACATAATAAGCGGTTCGAGTCCATTTTTAATATTCCAGCTTCATTACGACGTATTACAAACGTCTTGGGTGGCGAATTCTATCGCGGACGCTCGTAATGCTACGTTATTAAAGCCGAAAGGGATGGGTGGGCGTTCCGAAACGCCGATTTATTTGAATTTTTGCTCCGACTCAATTTGGGAAATCGTTCGGCCGGCGGCGCTCGCGAAATTAAGACGTCAGAGTGATTGCTCCGAGGCGTTTAATTATGTAAATGTTATGAGCTAGCTGCAGTGGGTGGCGGTTGCCGTAATTGTGTAAAAGATGCGGTCACGTATGACGACAACCCGGCTCTGTGATTTCGTGCGACCGCCTTATAAAATGACCGATTTAAAAGTTTTAATACAGCATAATAATTTTGTATTGCTGTAATGGAAAAATAATTTTGTATGTTATTAGGTTTTTAATGTATTATTTTTTCTTTTTAACTTGAACAGTGGCAGCATATATTGAGCGTTGTAAAGACTGAAGTCTATTTTGACACTTTTGCGATCTTATAAGAGCTTTCTCACTCCAGATCCTGTCATCGCACATGGAGGTGCGGTGCAAATGTCACGGGCTCTCTGGCAGCTGTCAGCTGAGGACCTGCTGGCGCGCCACCCCAGATTTCCGGGTGGTCGCCTCCACTATCAAAAGACAATATCGGAAAGTAAGTTACCTTTAGTAGCGTAAAGTAATCCTATAGATTATTTCTTAGTATATTGGTATCTCGTTTAACTATCAGTGAGACTGTAGTAGGCTTAATTTAATAAATACGTCTGCGATAGTGTAGTTTTAATTTGCAATTACATTTTAAGGCACTTCTGGTAGCACAAGAAGAGCTCAACAACGGTATGTCAGTACTGAGAGGACGACCGCGAGGTAAAAGGCGAAGTCGAGCGAAACCAGCGCCAAAAACTAGCCTACTGTTCTTTGAAAAGTAAGTACACGTTACGTGATATTAAGAAATAATCATGAGGTAAGAAATAACCAATGATAGGAAGGGGAAGTGGATTTGGCGGAGGGAAGGACGCATCGCATTCGTTGTATTAGCGCTGTGACTGCCGCATTTTCCTAAACTTCGTTTTTTAACACTGTTAAACATAAAAAAAAATTATATCTTTCAAACTTTATTAATTCTAGATCACCAAGTTTCTGCGACGCTGACCCACGTATGGATTCTTCGGGCACATCCGGCAGAGTGTGCAGAATCGGGCGTACATCCCGCACGGGTTCCTGTGACCTGTTATGCTGTGGACGAGGTCATGCCCTCATACGCAGATCCAGCATCAAACCGTGCAATTGCACATTTCACTGGTGCTGCAGAGTCGACTGCGAGAAATGCCACGACGACAAATGGGTTGCCATGTGCAAATAACTTTGTGATATTAAGATATTTTGAAGACATCTAATATGTGATATATCGTGTTAATTTTTATTAAAAAACAAAAAGCAACGTTTTACACTTTGTAAAATAGAATGAAAAAATTGGAATAGTTTAATAACTGGTAGATGAAGCTTAAGAGAATGATTTTTGGATGAAATTTTTAAAGACCGCCATTTTGAATTCTTTTGAATTAATAACATTATGATATTGCAATCATCATCATAATTATCAGCTCACTGTACATCCCCACCGAGGGGCTCCGAGCCTACCCTAAGTTAAGGGTGCTTAGGCCATAGTCAACCACGCTGGCCAAGTGCGGTTTGGTTGACTTCACACATATCTTTGAATTTCTTCGCAGATATGTGCAGGTTGCATCACGATGTTTTCCTTCACCGTAAGAACTTCAGATAACTGTACATATGTAAATCGGAAATGGAAAATCACACTGGTATATGACGGGATTCGAACCCAGGAACTGCAGATTGCAAGTCAAGTGCTTGACCCCTGAGCCATCGACGCTCTCGATATTGCAAATGTGTAACTTATTATCTTCAAAAACTCTCGATTAATTTAGGCTGTATATTAAAATTTGATTCATAACAGCAAAAAGGTAGACACAGAATGCACTTTTTATTGATATTTCAATTAAAATTTTTGCATTGACGAAATCTTTTTATATAAAAGAAGGGGGCAAACGAGCAACGGGAACACTAAGGTGACCATGAACATTCGTAATACAAGAGGTACAAGCAGATGTATTGCCAACATTATAGTCGATTGTTTTTTTTACATTCCATTGTATATTTAATCATATGCAAAAACTTCTGTGTTTAACTAAAATTAATTCAAGCCTAATAATAGCATCTCTACAATAACAAAAGTTTTGTTTTAGACGACTTATGTTAAGGTTATGAGGTAAAAATCAAATTAAAATTGCATTAACAAAGTATTTTTTACATCATCAGATGTATAGATTTGTAACATATTTACTGAGTCTTATAAAAAAATTACAGCTTGTTTCCATTAAAGAAAAACTTACAATATCATCACTTTCTTTCTCGTTGAAAGTAAAAGAGATAGTAATATGTTTTTGTACCTGTGTTTCGGCAGTGGACACTCATTTGTTTCTTCTTATCTCTCTAGGAATAAATTGGAACAATTGTAGACATAATACATTTACATTCCATATTTCGAACCATCATGTTCATACATTTATGTGATTTTTTTTTATTTATAGTGGCCAGTATTACTTATTTAATTTGATTTAGAAATTGTAAATACATATAGCTTCTAACATTTCCAATACCATTTTATTTATTTACCTCTATTATTTATTGTAGTTTAAAATCTTTGTTTTTACAAAGGTTATGTAAGAAAATAAAATACACTTTCTAATAGAAAAATTTGTTTCAATCTCAAATACTCTTACAAAATAAGAAATTCTGTCAATTACTTATCTTTAAAAGTGCGACTGTCAGTTGTTTTTTTTTAACTTTTTTATTTATAAAATAAAATGATTTCACTGAAGAGCCACTCCTTCGATGTTTCAAGTGGGTCTACCTTACAAGAAGCGACAACTCAATGGGCTTTCGACACAATTATCCTGTTACTTCCAGTTAATTTGGCCTCTTAGTTCAAGAGCCTCTTTTGTATTGCCTCGATGCGCTGTTCATACAATATTATAACTAAAACATGGTGGTCGATATTAAAAACTACGTCTTCAAATGTCAATCACATTCTTTTGTCTATTACAATACGGGCTATAATTGCTTAAAAATATTTTAACAAAATGAAATTTTGCAATTCCAATTGCTTGACCTGTAGGTTTCTGACCCCAAAATCTCCGTTTACTTATAATATAGTAAGCACTAGTCTGGGTATCAAAGAGGGTATCCTATGTGCATTTAAAAATCCAATTTTCTATGTCTACTCTAAAGTTTCCTTTGTGCTTCTTTAAAGTGAATAACTACACCGTTATATTTCCATTCACTAACAAAACCGATACATTTTGTTACAAAATACATGTCAGTTTTACGGTACATTTGATTTCTGAAGTGGCGAAAGAATGGTATGTTTGCATTGTTCTGTCTACGCTTTGATGGCACGCCTGTTGGGGTTACGCGCGCATGATCGACTACTGCCTCGTGACGGATCGCCTTTGCACATTTTCTTTGAATACCCTCCGATTACTGGAGTTATGCTTTAAAACCTTTCTTTACGGTAGCACAAGAATGTGTTATTACAAAGTATCTAACGGATGTTAGGACGTACGTAAAAAATAACTGGCTGGCTGGCTATTGCCCGCGACTCCACCAGCGCGGAATTAAGAAAAAAAAACTAAGTAACTTATGGATTTTAACAAACTATTCTACATCTATGCCAAATTTCAGTGAGATCCGTTGATACGTTCTGTCAAAAATCCATACATGCAAACTTTCGCATTTATAATATTAGTAAGATAGTAAGATTGTGAAAAAAACCTTCTTTATTACTTTCAACATAATTCTGCCAGAAATGTAACACTAGTTCTATTCTACATAAATCCTCTTTGGATTTGTTTGGGTTAAATGTACCCATTCGTAATAATGAATCAAGCATAAATATTTCACATATGACTTCTTCGGATTCATAACAGTTACATAATATTAGTCATTACAATACTGGTAACTTACTTATGAATAAGAAATGCGATGTACTTATGTAAACAAATAGCTATAGTTGTGTAAATCAAATGTATCCGAAATTAAATGTTACCTAAGATAGGCGAGAAGGTCGTCGAGTATTAGAGTATAATTCAGTTAGTAAGGATCAACTGCGGTCTTAATACCATGAAGCCCGATGCACTTGAGAGGCGTCCGAGCCAACCGGACTACAGCTCTAGCTCACAACTGTTTAGTATCACACGGTAAACGAAGGAGTACACGGTAAGTAAACTCATATTTATTTAGTAGAAATACTCTGTGAATATTATTGTGAAGGTTTAAGTTTATTTTATGGAATAAAGCAAGCCAGTTCTCATTTATGACAAAATTAATCTAGAAAAACAAAGAAAATCAAAATTGTACTCTAAATCTGTTATGGCAGATTGTGTTTTCTAGTTTTTTCCTTATCGTTTAATGTTATCTTACCTACTGCTTTCCTTCTACAGAAAGGTTGGGAATGCATTTTTGCTTTGATTTTGATTACAGCTTTGTCTGGTCACTTAACATTAACTGAATCTTTGCTTCTCTTAAAATTCCTAAGAAAATAACAATGACATTTTGTTTAGTATTCAGTTTTTTGCCGGTCCTATGAGCAACATCAAAAATGAGGGAAGGTTTAAATATATCTTCACTGCCGAGTCCTATAGGAAGATACAAGCTTATTAAGAAACTTGGTTCTGGTATATTTGGCGAAGTCTTCAAAGCAACAGACGCGCAGGCAGCCGATAAAGCCGTGGCAGTCAAAGTACAGATACATTTCGAAGACGATGATGCACATATTCATGAAGAATATAAAATATTACGGGACTTCACATCTCATCCCAATCTAATCGATTTTTATGGAGTATTCTGTGAAAAATCTGAAAGCCTTAAAAAAATATGGTTCATATTAGAGGTAAGAAATTATTTCATATCCTCAAAGATATTTTTAAAGACGAGCAAAGCAGGGCAATTAGAGGAATTTAACATATTAATTTTCCAGTTATGCGATTTTGGAACTGTCATGGATATTGTCAGAAAATTGAAAGCCACCGACAGGAAAATGTCTGAAGAACACATCGCTTACATACTCAAATATACGATCAAGGTAAGTCCATATTCGACTGACTATAAACATGTCGCTCATCACATACAACCCGAAATGGCTGCTTATAAAACAAAGGGCCTGCCAGTCCACCTTTCAACAGCTGAATCAATCGTTGGGTACTTTGAATGCAAACTCAATTGTTCTCGTATCTGAGACCGGGCGATTTCTTCTCGTTGCGTGACATCGGATAAAATATTGCCGGCCGAATGTCCACGTACGTTGAAATACTATCTAGGGCCATTACTTAAAATGCACGTCGCTTTATTCGATGTGATTCGCGACGAAACAGTCGAACTTGTCCGGGCGAATGTCGGAGAGCGCCCGACAACACCATGATGGCCCCCCATCGCGGTGCATCGCTCAATTATCGTAAATAATGCTCGCGCACACAAGATATACGGACCTCTGACGCGGTAGCCAACGATCCCCGGGACCCTATTCCATCGATTCACAATCGCTCTTATAACCCTTTATTTTAAAGCACTTATTCCCGATAACGCACTAATATTTTACGCTCGAAGGGAATTAGATAAATTTCAATGCATATTATCTTTATGCAAACCACTTGACTCACAATGCCAATGGTCCGGTCCTCTCGTTTGGTACATTTTCTATGGATATAGCTATCTATCCGTACTTAATCGCTTATAATTCGATCGAGGATTGAATTATGATACAACGTTATTGAATACAATGATCATGAATAGCTTAATATACTTACAATACACCATCATAATTTTCAAACCATACATTTCATACAAAGCAACATCGACTACATTATTTGCCATTTAACATTGCAAGTATCATTCAATTACTTCGTATATTTATAGACTTGATTTAAAAATACAATAACATTTAACCTATAAAAAATCAGTAAATTAATCACTATAAATATAAGTCGAATCTCGATAAAAATAAAAGCAAAGATCAGTGATACGTCGGAGTAGTGTGCAGACAGGCGGGCCGTGACAGTTGATAGGACCGATACGCATGCAAAGTAGCTTCCAATACATCTGAGGGGCGTGGGCCATTTGATTGACGCTGACGTCGATACAGCGGGCGCTCCGACTGATCGGAGACGGAGACTGATCGCTCGTCAGGGCGGCTACTACCACACCTTGTCAAACTCAAGTGTCGGTCGATTGGACGATACATGCATGTCATTTTAATATCAGCATACATCAATGTTTCTTTGCACCAATATGAAAAAAAGGACCGATAAGTAAAATTTTGCTACCCATAGATTAAAATGCTCATATCAATTTATGAGATTTGGATTTCATTGAAATGCTTTACGTTTCTTTCATATTTAAATTGTATTTAATACGTACGATTTTATACAAATAGAAAAAAAAACGAAACTCTATTTAAATTCCAGGCGGTGTGTTACCTCCATGAAAATAAAATTATACACAGAAATATAAGATGCAGTAACATTTTGATTAGTAAGGATGGCGAAGTTAAGTTAATAGACTTTGCCTTAGCCTGCAAATTAAGTGGGAATGCAGAAAAAACTAGAACAAATATTGGATCTCCAAGTTGGATGGCTCCAGAAGTAGTTGCAGTCAGTGAAGAAGGCTATGACAATAGGATTGATGTTTGGGCTTTGGGTATAACAACTATTGAAATGGTTGATGGCAAAGGACCTTTTCAAGACATGCATCCGACTAGGGCGATGTTCCAAATTTTAAGGAATCCTCCACCTAGTGTTTGCAAACCATCCATGTCTTCTAACGACATTAATGATTTTATTGCTGAGTCAGTATCACGAAATATTTTGTTTATTGTTTTAAGTTAATTTTATTGAACACGAGCAGTTTATATGTATTTTTTTTATTTCAGATGTCTTGAAAAGAATCCCGAACATCGTCCTTACATGATGGAATTGGAGGAACATCCATTCATTCAATTAGTACCAGAAAATGATTATCATGTTTGTTATTTCATTTACTAATATTAGCAGTATTTATATCTTGAATGTACGTTATTGTAAAATACATATTTCCATCGTTCCAGTTATCGACAGAGCTAAAAATGCTAGCCGTAGATTTGAATAATACACCGGCACCTGAGAAAATACCAGAAAGGATAATCAAAAATGGTCTTTTAACAACAGAAGGAGTACATGAACCAGAAACAATGCAAGTAGAAGATCTTGCAGCATTAGATATACTAACTGAAGATAATCTGATGTCTGAATTATATACTAAGCTTGCAAAAGGATCGTTTACATCTTTTATCGGCGATGTTTTATTAATTTTAAATCCTAACATGCACGCTGATATCTACGGTGAAAATGTAAGTGTTATAGTTTGATAGACTAACTAAAATACCTTTTATAACCATTAATTTAATTTCAGTATCATAAAAAATATGAATGTAAATCAAGATCTGACAATGAACCGCATATATTTGCGGTCGCTGACGGAGCTTATCAAGACGCCATGCATCACAATGAACCCCAGCATATAGTGTTTTCCGGAGAAAGTAAATCTGGAAAAACAACAACTATGATCCATGCACTCTCACATCTTTCTTACTTGGGTGCTATGAAGAATAATACAGCTGAGAGGATTCAAAAAGCAAACGAAGTGATACAAGCATGTATAAGTGCTGCAACTCCAGTAAATCCTAACTCTACGAGAGGGATTTTACAAGTTCAAGTTACGTATGGTAGCTCTGGTAAATTAAGTGGAGCTATATTTTGGCTCTATCAACTAGAAAAGTGGCGCGTCTCTTCAACTGATATGTACGTAACATTTAAGTAATATACTTAATTTAAGCAAAGATAAAATTGTATAATTCCATTAATCGTATGTTGTTTTAGGGCTCATGCAAATTTTAACCTCCTTTATTACTTTTATGATGCAATGGAAGCTGAAAATAGATTAGAAGAACTTTATTTAGAAAAATATAGAAAACATCGTTATTTGCGTATTTTAGAAGAACCACCTAGAGGAGTAAGAGGTGTCCGTGAGACACCATCGGATAATGTCGCTAAATACAAAGAATTTGTTGAACATTTAAAGATTCTAGATTGGGAACAGGAGGATATTAAATTCTTTGAAACTGTGCTAGCAGCTATCCTAGTAATTGGGAATGTTAGATTCAAAGATAGTAGAAACGGTACTGCCGAGATAGAAAACCCAGAAGAAGCGAAGAAGGTTGCTAAATTACTGTCATTGGATGAAGTGAAATTTCTCTGGGCTTTATTAAATTATTGTTTGATCGAAAGAGGTACTGCTATTAAGAAAAGACATTCCACTGATGAAGCAAGGGATGCCAGGGATACCCTTGCTAGTGCACTGTACAAGAGGTTAATCGATTGGATGATAAATATGATTAATTCCAAATTATCATTTATGAGATCTGTATTGTAAGTAACAGCTATTCATAATAAATAAAATACAACGATAGGACACAACAATAATAATCTTTCGTTTTTTTACAGCGGCGACAAATATTCGGTCAGTTTACTAGACATGTTTGGTTTCGAATGTTTTCACAGAAACCGCTTGGAACAATTGATTGTTAATACGACAAATGAACAAATACAATTCCTATACAATCAGAGAATATTCGCTTGGGAAATGCAAGAAGAGGAACAGGAAGGCATCCAAGTAGCTCCCCTGCATTATTATGATAATAAGAGCTCTGTTGATCAGCTGATGGCTAGACCAGCTGGAATTTTTTATCTTTTAGATGAAGCAAGTAGGAATGGAAGCGGTCAAGAATTTATCATGAGTACGATCATTTAACAAAATCTTAATTAGTTTAGATACTGGACATAATACTTTTTAATAATATTGGTTGTCAATTTCAGATGCCATCAGAACATCTAGTAAAGGCCCATACGTTAAGATGTCTGGTAGCCATGAATTTAGTGTCGCACACTACACGGGCAAAGTCAACTACGATGCTAGAGAAATGGCTGACAAGAATAAAGATTTTCTTCCTCCAGAAATGATCGAAACAATGAGAGCGTCACAAAATGCCACACTTCAACAACTATTCAAGAACAAGTTGACAAAGACTGGTAACTTGACCATTGTCTCGACACAGTCAAAGCCACAAGCTGCTAGATCCAAGAACGAAAAAGAAATGGAAAACCTTAAAGCTAGGGTAAGTTTTCCAAAGACATCTATAAATTCTTAAACAGCATGACTTCTTCAATCTTCAAACATTGTCTTAGCTTTCAGAGATTTCTTGAATCAATGGAATACTGACTTAAAATAACGGATTGTTACTTTTTTTCAGAAATATAACACCGTGTCTCGAGGTCATTACTCCCAGAGTCACAGGATGAGGACTGCTGCAGCCACATACAGGGCTACCAGTTTGGAGATTCTAAAACAGCTTTCAATAGGTCCTGGGAGTGGTGGCACTCATTACGTGCGTTGCGTTAGAGCGGACTTGACTGATACCCCTCGCGGTTTCCAAGGAGAAGTTGTACGCCAACAACTGAGGGCGCTTGCTATATTGGATACAGCCAAAGCGCGACAGAAGGGATTCTCAAGTCGTGTACCTTTCGCTGAGTTTATACGCAGGTGAAAGAAATGTAGATTTTTTTGGTTTAAGTAGCTATTAAATATTTAAATTGATTATTAGATCACGTTTATTTATAAATCCATGTTACATTTTTATTATAATCATTTTAAGTCTCTTTTATCACGATACAGATATCGATTCCTGGCTTTCGACTTCGATGAAAACGTGGAGGAGACAAAAGACAACTGCCGTTTGCTGCTGATCCGTTTAAAAATGGAAGGTTGGGAATTAGGCAAATCAAAGGTCTTCCTTAAATATTACAACGAGGAATTCTTGTCCAGGTAATCTAAATGTGGTTTTAAATAATATTTTTATATAACTATCTTAGCTGTACAAATAATTCTTGTATTTTTCAATTACATTACAGATTGTATGAGACTCAAGTGAAGAAAATCATAAAAGTGCAATGTATGATGCGGGCGTTCTTAGCCAAGCGAAAGACAGTTCAAAACAAATCTAAAGCTATGCATAGTATGTATTTAAAATAATAATGGAATACAGTTAGTATTCATTGGTATATTTATTTATATTTTTTCTTACAGTTAAAGAACTAAAAAAGCAACAATCAAAGAATGTTAGTGAAGATGAAGCCGCATTAACTATTCAAAAAGGTTAGTTCACATTTAATCGTATGTAAACAAAAATATAGTATCCCAGTTGAGTACTGTACCAATGTTAAATTTGTTCCAGCATATCGGGGCTATGTGGTACGTAAGGCATACGGGCCTCTAGTTAAGCAGACATCAGATCAAATTGACGAAGAGACCGCAACCTTTCTAAAGAGATATGCAATGAAATGGAAGAGCCGCTCTATATTCCAAGTTCTGCTGCAGTACAGAGCCATGAGATATCAAGATTTAGTACATTTCTCGCAACAGGTATCAGTTATCATTTTATATCAGAACGCAAAGTTCTTATTTGCATTTAGAGAGACTAATACAGAAGGACGCAATATTGATTTCTGTTCTAAGCCATTCTTCAGTACTTTATCATTTTGTTATTGGTTCTTAATCAGATTTAACCTACAGTATACAGTTTCCGTTCGTGTTCAGATAATAGATTAAGCATTAGTTTCTGAGACCAAAATCCTTTGAAACATATTGTTATCTCTCTTTTGTCAAATATAATGACAGGGATAACGATATTTTTTATAGAGATTTATTTATTTTGATGTCAGCAACCAACAGTTGTATGGTTCATATTTTTTTTTACCGAATTCGTTTTTATAGATTCACATCTACAATCAAGCATTGGTCGAAGGACTGGTCACCACGAACACATCAGTTACATTGGATAAAATTGATCCTAACGCTAAAGAGATCACATACCTAGGATCTGTTCGTCCTACAGTATGGAAGTTGCCGTTTAGAATTGATCAATTACAATTCTTCGATACATCGGCCATGTGCGATCCAAATGTTAAGACCACGTGCGTATTAAAACTGTGTAATGCACATTTTTTTTACCTATCCTTTACATTTTATACTCACCTACTTACTTATTTATTTCTTTATAATGTTATGTACGTTATTAAATAGCGATAAAATACTGCTAGATAAAATAATTTCTCAAAGATTAGCAGTCAAGGCAATATGGTATTGAGAAGAGTAGAGGTAAGTACTTTATTTTGTTTAGTTCTTAGTAGAACTTAACAGGAATTGAAATCTTTCATTTGAAATACTAGAATGTTTGATGGCTAGTGAAAAGCTTTAAATCATACGTACCCTATACCGTACCGTACACATCTACAATCAGCAAGACAGTCTTGTAATTGCAATGACCTTGACATCATATTAGGTAAATAGAATAACCATTTCTCATATAAACCTAATATCTGCTTTAGTGATGTTATTTGCTTATAAACAAAAAAATATTTAATATTATATAATCAAGGAACTAAAATAACCTCGATATTTAATTATAGTGACACTCTCGCCACCCCTAACGATTCCGACCACGAGCAATGGGATGAACCGTTGAAGCGCGGATACTCGACACAGACGGACCCCTACATGCTGTCTGCAAGCACCCAGACCCTCATTACTATGCCGTTCTGCAGAGATCCCATGCAGCCACTACCCAAGCTACCCTCCGAGGATACCTTAGCCAGATCTTCTATAGCCCACGATGTATACGTCGGAACAGGTAGCCGCCCAGTCGTTTACAAGAAGAAAATGAACCAATCCCCACAAGGTTACTACCAACCACCAACACCTTGGGCCAGTCCTCGGGACGATACTGATATTCTAGAAAATACCACCTCGCCCATGCGTAGGTCGAATTTTAGCCGTAGTATGCACACATTCGATGTCGACATCCAAGACCCTATACAAGAACTCCAGGCATTGGCCAAATCCGCCAACGATGTGAGCGATGATGACCCACCTTTCAACTTTCAGGCCATGCTAAAGAAGACACCGAAGAACAGAGCATCAATGAAACGATACAATGAAATGGATGTATTTGAAGACAAACGCGCAGCTCCTAAGTATATCATATCTCCGGATAGACAAGGAGTTCCTCCTAGATATGACATGCCTATGAATGCACCACGAACAACGCCATATTACATGTCCCAAGCACCATCCAGTGTGATGTCTCCGGTTGTAGAGAGTCGATCTCAGAGAGACTTCGTCAAAGAAGATACAGATTATTATATCACGGATTCAAACAGAGCCAATTCGAATACTGATTTGAGTAACACTAAAGATGGCTCCAAGTCCGACGCATCTACAGTTACGGAAATTGCTCCGGGAATTACTTTAGAAGGCGCTGTAGCAGATTTGTAGATGAAAATAATGCATTATCATAGTATATTCGTAGGTGATTTGTGAGAGAAAAAAAATCAATTTTCGTGTAAAAATATATTTAATCTCCATTGCATTGGAAGTCCGCAAACAATTCGTATTATGGCGCGTGCATTCCGCTTTACTGACATCAAATATTAAAGCCATAAGTTACTTGTTAAGTCATCATAAGATTCCGTTAGTATTTTCGATAAATTTCTCAATACAAATTATCTCAATAGTTTACACCAAAAAACCTTAAAACTAAACATGGCTTATATTAAATTCATGAATATCGTAGTTACAAACCAAGGATTTATAATGACGTAGAAAAATATATCAATATTCATTCTTAAATCTAGTGTTACTTAATATAAATTGCTTTGGTAACTTATTCTTACTTATAAACGAGTGGTCTTAAATATTAATAGTTCAGGGCTAGTGTGGTCCTCTGTGGCTAGTAATAGCGATAAATAACTAAATAGATTAGTAAATTCATTTTAACAAAACACCAAAATAGTATGAGATAATAATGTAAAAAGGCTTAAACAATCTTGACAGAAAAAGCCTCAAAAAAACAAAAAGAAAAATTTCACCTTAATTTAAAAATATATGTTACAACTTGTATACCATAGTCATAAAATATAGAATTAAAAATATATTTTGCATCCTGTAATGAGGAGAAAACTGAAAGCACTAAGTAGGTGGCGCTAGCGCCGAGTGTGCTGTCATCTGTCAAAGTTTTAGACGTCATTCTAGCGATTAAAAATATGTATTCGTTTTCATTTTTTGTTATAAACAATTTATGAACTATCGTAAAAATAGTTATTATTGAATTCTTTGAGTGAACTTTAATGACAGTCTTTGTTTCAACATATTTTTAGTTTTATATTTAGTGCTACTATCACTCGATCACGCTGACCATCCATAGTGAGCAAAAGGCAGTTTTTCTCCTCATTTATTAGAAAGTATTTGGACATAGATTAAAAATTAATTCAGTGTAAAGATTTAATCCCAAAGTTTGTCAAGAAATTAGGGTTTGCAAAATATTTTTCTCTGACTAGGAAATATATTCACCTTACATTATGGGCCTGTTCCACAATGTCCAGGTTAAGTCCTGCATAACCTACATGGAAATTATTTGTCAAAAAAGTCATCGTTGCTATTTCACTATCTCTAAATAAGCTGTGAAACTATTTGACAGGAAGTTTTATGTGTCAGTTCATTTATTTGTTGGCAGATTACTACGACAGTTGTGAAACTAATCCTTATAATAATCAGATCAGATCTATTTAATATTATAAAATACATTACGGTTATAGGCCGGAATCAAAAATATATGTTTTGTAAAACTTTAGATTTCTGAAACTTACTGTGTACTTCTAAATATCAAATATAATATATAAGTTACAATCTTAAATAATTAATCGAGAAATTCACTTCAAAAGCTCTGTTCAATCTTTGTACAGATTGATATGTCTCTTATTACCAAGTGTTTTCACTACCAAAACAATCATACTATCATTTTCCTTACAAGGAATAGGTAAGCTGTTTTTGTACAGCTGCTTCCGCAGTGAAAAGGCATCGTTATGCATGCTCATGACAATATTTAGATGTGTGTGAGAACAAATTACTTATATTATCAATATCATGAATATAATATTTGAAAACTATTTAGTGTTTGTTTTAATAACCCACTGTTAAATTAACAATACCCCACATAACCGTAAAAAGTGTGCTATATTGTTTCATAAATTAATTGATTTTCCCGGTGGCAACACTAACCTCAAATTGTCATAAGCCGACAATGGCAACATACTCCTATTGGTATTAACACTAAATAGTATCTGAGCATTCTTAAATTCTACATTATGTACTTCTTTATGTACTTTTCAATCAATTATGTTATTTGTAATATCATTTTTTTTATATCACACCCAAATATTTTTTCTTCACAATATTATATTAGATTTTACGCCTCAAATAAATACTGTAACTTCTATTATATACTTCATGTCTTATGTATCTAAATCACATCCTAAAATTATTGCTGAATAAATCTAATGCTAGTACAAAAATATATAATATTACCTTAGGTTTATATTCAGTCAATAAATTTTATTATGAGTGTACAAAAACTAGATTATTTTTTAGTATATAAAAAAGGGTCATATGGTCAGCAATCATTAATGGTATGAAAAATATATTGGCAAAAACAAGAAAAATGTATGTCAAGTTTCTTTATAAATTTCTAGAAGAATTCTGATATATTATTATGACACTTATTCAACTAAAAGCGACTTTGAGCTGAGATCAAAATAATGTAAATTAAAATTAACATTGTTAAATCATAATAAAGCTATTATTTTAATTAATAATATTAATTTAATATTAAACTGAATGAATACTGACCAAAATTCAATTAACAATAACCTATCTGGCCGCACATTATTCCTTAATTCATATTTATACTAATATCATAAAGCGGAAGAGTTTGTTTGTTTTAACGCGCTTATCTCAGGAACTACTGGTCCGATTTGAAAGTTTTTTTGTTGGATAGTCCATTTATATAGGAAGGCTTTAGGCTGTGACCAATAGTTTTTTTTTCTTAATTCCGCGCGGACCGTGTCGTTCGCAGCTAGTATTGTACATTACAAGGATTTGATATAAAATTTAAAAAATGTAGCAATTTAAATATTTTTTCTGTTGTGTATATAAAAAGTTATAGATTGCTTAGTAATAGTTGATTATTGTTCAAAATTTCAAATGATTCTTAGACCCTCGATAAAGAAACTATTTAAACTTAGTTCAAAACTGTATCACCCTTATATGAATTTATATAAATACATTATTACTCTGTAGATTTGATTTCATATTAAAAATATTTTTTTTTTAATAAAAATATCTAAGATTACCAATATTATCAAAAAGTATAAATTCAATTGTAATTTGCACTGCAAATTGAATCTTTAATATTACCAAAATTGACTTTAGTTTACTCCTTAGTTAGTAATATTATAAAAAAACATACCCTAATTAGTCTTCTCATTGGCAACACTACCGTTTGAATCAGTGATACCAACCTGACCCAATAACTGGGTAACACTGGGTTCGTTTAACGTGAGTACCGCATGAGCTTCAACCATAACTACCAAAGAGTTTCTAGCCTCTTCATGTGGCACACCATGAGTTTTAGTAGCATGGGAATACCAAGCGCCAGTTGATGGCAGCACTGAAATGCACCATTTGCATGATAACCTAAAAAATATTACTATTATTAGAAAATAAAAAGTTAAGAAATTATAAAATATGCCAACAAGGATTTTCTGTTACTCTAGTATGTATATATATCTATCAACATCTAACGAAAATAATGAATAAATTTTACTATAAAAAAATAGGTATTGGAGAAAGTGGAGACTTTTGTTGGTGGAGGCCAAGGCCCACTTCGGCTTGCTGTGTCACCTTTTTTATAAAAAAAAATCAACCTGTCGCCCGCGACGCCGTCCGCGCGGAATTAAAAATTTTTTTATGACTAACTCATGTGTTCTTCTAGACTATGTTCTACATCTGTGGCAAATTTTATTAAGATCTGTTGAGCCATTACAGAGATACCTTCAAACGAACATACATCCATTCATCCATCTATGCATTCACATTTTTTAAACAAGTATTAAAACTTGCAGCTTATTTAATGTAGAAATTAGAAACTAACCTGTTAGTGACATGTCTGGATTTAACATGTCTTCTTCTATATCCCCAACTATTGTAAACACGCGGACAAAACGGACATGGAAATGACGGGTTAGCGTAACATGTATTGGTTTTATCTGAAATTTACAATATGATTTGTTTATATTATATTTCAATTATATCATCAAAATGAAAGGATTATCGAGTATAAATTATTATACCTTTGATATTTTGAACTTCGCTTGATACAGAATTCAAGCTATCCGTTGTTATACTCAAACTCTCCACAATTGTCCCACTTTGCAATACATTTTCAACTTCCTTGTCAATCTCTACGCTATCTTTATCTTCATCAATATCAATCCCATTTGTTTTATCAACTACATTAAGACAAGGCTGTGTACTACTGACTTCGTTAATCCATTTCTTTACACTACGGTCCTTCTGTACCACTGAGCTCATAGATTTACCGGATGAACTTTCGGGACTTATTGAATATTTCTTTTCAACATCTTCTAGTAAAGCAATATCTGTATCATTGGTGTTTTCTCCTGAGTAATCGGTTAACGGTGAATCAACAGGTTCAACTTTGGGTACAATGGCCTGTAAATATATTAAACAATTGAATAATATATGTTTATGTTATGATTTATTTATATCCAAACTTGGTACTTAAATTGTGACATTATTTTGATTCTCGCATTATAGACCTAACTAGTTTCAGCTAAGAATTAAGACAATATGCATACTAACAGTATTCTTCAGAGAGTCAGCATTGATGACATTTGTAGCTACATCTGACTTGTACTGTGTGGTGTGAGGTTTCTTAGGTTTGTTATTGTTATCTTCAATTTCACTCTTCTTGCGTTTCTTTGAATGAGAGGCAGAAATTTTCTGAAATAGAGAATTTTCATACTATTGAAGCACTTAAATCATTAGGAGTTTAATAGAAGTCTTTTTACTATATGCTCTAATTTTGATTGGTGTGTTTAATTTTGTCCACCTAAAATCTAATAATAATCTGTTCAAAAACATGTCATTACTTTTTATTTAAAAAAATAGAGAACAATTTTTTTTGTACTGGTCTTTTGGCAGTTGCAAACTCATGGTAATGTAATGCCTTATTGACCAATTTTAATAAGGAAAATATTTCATACTAACGTCATCCTCGCGCGACTCACTGCCAGTAGACAAACCACAAATTCTCAACGTTTCTGCGGTCTTCAGAAGAACGGGCAGAAAATCCTCGGTTACATTAACCTCGCCATTATACATAAAAGTCAAAAGAGTTTGTAAAGAGGCGGTATTGATGTCATGTAGAACTATAATTGGATCCTTGTGGGGGTTTTGCTGAAATGAAAAAAAAAGAGTGGGCGTAAGCGAGAATTCTAAAGAAACGTCTAATACCTCAATACATATGTATCTAACCTGAAATATAGTTTTGAAAACGGAGCTATTTGCAGACAAAATTACTTTATGTGCTTTAAAACTATGCCCTTCCGTAACCAGGGTGACATCCGACAAACCTTCGTCTTTATAAAGTTCTTTCACATTTGATAATATATTACTTTGATATCCATTCCACTTTAAGCTTATCTCTTGGTTTGCCATCTCTCAATTTTCGAGGACATGCAGTTTGCTAATTTTAAAGAACACCAACGAAAACAAACAAAACAAAATGCTTGCAATAGCTTAATTTTAATGAAGGAAAACAATAGGGACATTGCCAGCTAAAATTTGTAATTCCAACAGATTAAATTTATGCTTGTTAGTGTTGTCAGTGCCTAAAGTAATCCCATATTATTTTGCCATTCTTAAGAATTATTTTTTAATAATCCGTCGCTTGGATAAATCCACTGACTATTGTCTTTTTGTTTTTAGAGTAAGTTCATAATTAGATGATTGTCTAAACAAAATAGCTACTAAAAACAAAAATGTTTCACTAATACAGTACAAGTGAAAGCAACTATTTTTTTTTCAGCAGATGGCGTTAATTTCAATTGTAAATGAAAAAACGTTTTACCGTTGTTGTACTTAAAATAAAATCAATATACTTAAAGTACAAGAATATATGAAATTTTGGAGATTAAATTAAGAATGTATTGCAGAGTACATTAGCTAATTCTTATTAATATTATAAATGCGAAAGTAATACTGTCTGTCTTTCTTTGACACAAAAACTACTGAACTGATTTTAATGAAGGGATTAAATGAAAAAAAAAAATACCACCGAAAGACATAATTGCGGGCGGACAAAGTCACAAGCTCAGCTAATTTAATTTAATAACTTCCTCACCGCTTTTAGGTGTTATTTACAATATTGTTTATCAAGCCTGTGGTTTATGGTGATTTCAATTACATTTACACATATATGACTATAAATTCTATATTTAATATTGATTAAATCCACATCGTACACCTATGTTTAGTTTGCAGTTGTGTTTGTTGGGTTGTATATTTTCACAATTATGTTTAAACTATTTAGAACACTTATTTTTATACTCAAGTTCAACGAGGGTAACATGAAATGTTTATACAATTATTTCGAGATTTGGTCCTTACCTCTTTTAAGAAAATATCGGGAACGCATAAAAGTGCGAAACACCAGCTGGAGCTATTTTCATAATTTTTTTTATTTAAAGTAAAAAGAAAAATTTCCTGATTATGAATGCGAATGTTTTGAGTGTTTGAATGTTTTTTAAAAAGTTTTCTCCAGAACGGCTTCGTGGATTCTGATGATATTTGGTACAGATGTAGTGTATTATCTGAAATAACATAAAGGTCCCCTAGGATCCTGGAATTATGTGAGGTTCCTTCAGGATACGCTTATTTTGTTTTCACATATTTACAAGATAAGTCCGCAGCAGTTTTAAATATTTTAATAAAATTTGGTACAGATATAATATAATTTCAAATGACACATTAGTATATTTTCTCTGCATTTTGTTTTTTTTTATTCAATGCGGACAAAGTAGCCGGCAAAAGTTATATTCAATATTCATAACAAGGCGGACAACTACTAACATTTATTATGTATTTAAAATCGCTATGAATCACATTATGTAGTTTAAACAAGGCAAATTGGTCAGTTAACGTTAGCGCGTAATTTTATTTAAAATAATATAGTTTGAATTAGGAATTATGTCTCTCAACAATAACCTGCATTTTTTAAAGATTATTATATTTTTAACCTTAAAATTTAATATAATTTTATCTCAATCTAATTGTCCTAATTTAGTAACATGTGGTGCTTGTATAGCATATGCGGATGATTCCTGTGTTTGGTGTTCTTCGGTAAGTATCAACTAGTAATTATTGTTTTATATTCAAAATTCAATCGGATTTTATTGCAAATGGAATATTGTTTTTACTGTGTTTTGAAGAAAAGGGGATTTTTATTAATACATAATTATTTTAGAGGACTTACTGTGGGTTTCCGAGACCAAAATCCCCGTTAAAAACATACTATAATCTTTTTTTTTGTCAAAAATAACAGGGATATGTCTTATGCGTAAATTTTGGTCTCGGAAACCAACTGTAAAATAGCTGATTAATTAAAAGATCAAATAAAGTAAAATTTGTGTCGAGATTCGTATAGGTACTTTTAGATAATGATAAAATAGTAAGAGAGTATAAATTTTTAGTTAGTGATATAAACGACAACAATTAAACCGAAAAGATCACAGAAGTACGAGAAATAATATTATAATTAATTATGGGTAAACCTTTTTTTTCTTTTAGGAATCCCATACGGGACCTCGATGTAAATCAAAAGATCTAGCAAAAGCAACATGGTGTTCCGAAAATGTAACTGAAGCAATTTTGAGTCACACAATCCTAAGAAATGATGAATTAAATTCTGGAGAGAATGGCGTAAAAATTCAATTTACACCACAAACAATGACTATAAAAGTACGTCCAGGTTTACCAGTCGACTTCAATATGGCGTACCGACCTGCGAAAGACTATCCGTTAGATGTCTATTATGTCATGGACTATTCTTTTACAATGAGGGCATATCAAAATCTACTTCAAGAGCAGGGCCTTGAGATTTATAAGGAGCTTACTTTATTAACAAATAATGTTCGACTAGGTATTGGAAGTTTTGTTGATAAGCCCGCATATCCTTTCAAAAGGTGAGTTAATTGCCATACCTTAATCAATTAATTAAAATCGAATATTTGTACCGATTTACCTACATAAATAACCGTTATAAGCATGTCGAAACGTACACGTATATTTCAGAACAGTTTATGTATTAGGTAAATAATAGAAAACGATTATTTCCAGTTCAGATAACGAAGCTTATTCCTTTAAAAATCATTTATCCTTAACGCAAAACATGACAGAATTTCAAAATGTTCTAAAAGACAATTTGTTCGGATCAAACAACGACGACCCGGAAGGTGGTTTCGACGCCCTGATGCAGGTTATGCTCTGTCAGGATGAAATAGGATGGCGGGAAAATGCGAGGCGAATCATAATCTTATCAACTGACAATACTTATCACAGCGCTGGAGATGGTAAATTTGTTGGTGCTGTCAAACCGAACGATATGAAATGTCATCTAGAAGATAATAATTATAACATGGGCCTAGATCTAGATTACCCCTCCGTGAGTCAGATAAATAAAATCGCTACCGAACACAATTTTAAAATAATATTCGCTGCAATTTCTTCTGTAAAAGATCATTACGAAGGTCTAGTGAAGAAGATAAGAGGTGCGAAATATGTAGAATTAAGTAAAGGCTCAAATTTGGTAACAATGGTCAAAGAGGAATATCTAGTAAGTTGAAACAGTATTTTTAAAGTTATATAAAAACGACTAAACCCTCACGTATATACGTCCGGTGGCGGCACCGACTAGTTTCGAGCCCATCGGGGGCCCATCATCAGAGTGAGTGGGACTGGTATTATTTTGCAGACGTGGCCTAGCTCACTGTAGTCGGTGCTGCCACCGGACGAATATACGTGAGTGTTTAGCCGTTTTTATATAAGTTTATTATAATGTATCACGAAAGTTTGAATAATTTAACAGTCTTTTTAATTCAGATTAAACTTATTACTGTTTTGCTCCAACTGAATTTTAAATAATTACACAATTTTTAAACTTTTAGAAATTGATAAGAAGCATGGAAATAAATGCAGATTTGCCACCACATATTGAACTTGCATTAAGTCCCGACTGTCGTAAAGAAGGCATCTGTATAATTAAACATAACGAATCTATTACTATAAATGCAAAGTTAACAGTCAAAGAATGTCCCAGTTCTGATGAAGCAAGCGAAGTGCTCGTGGGTCCTGTGGCATTAAACGAGAAACTAAAAATTATAGTAACCAGCGATTGTGTGTGTGATTGTGAACGTAAAAATACAAACACGAATTCATCAAAATGTAGTGGCAGTGGAAAATACCAATGTGGCATTTGTACATGTAATGAAAATACGTAAGTAACTTTGAATATGTTGAATCTGTCTCGTAAGGCAACCAACCCGCACTTGGCCAGCGTGGTTGACTATGGCCTAGTCACCTCTAACTTAGGGTAGGCTCTGAGCCCCTCGGTGGGGACATATCACTATATGATGGGGACAGCTCACTAGCTGATGATGATGAATCTGTTCCGTAAGCACGTAAAACGAAGATTTTTATTGTGTAGGTACATCTTCTACGAGCTGTGCCTGCGACTTCGTTCGCGTGAAATAATGTCTTCGAGTAGCATTTATAATGACTGAAGCTAATTATTTTATTAAAATTACAAAATGTTAAAACAAAACATATTAAAGTCACAAAACATTTTCATAAATATTACTGTATAAACTTTCATCCCCTGTTCCCTATTGTAGTTTTGTACCCTTGAGGGTAAAACTTTTAACCCCTTACAACGCTTTTTTCCGTCAAAAAGTAGTCTATGGTCTTTGTCAGGTTCTAGATTATCTATGTACTAAATTTCGTTTAAATCGGTTTAGTAGTTTTAGTATGAAAGCGAGACAGATAAGAGTTACTTTCCCATTTATAATATTAGTAAGGATAAGAATTGTTTTCAGTTATGGTGAAGATTGCGGCTGCACTGGCATGACAAGTGTTGATTTAGATAAATGTAAATTAACATTAACAGCAACAGACTACTGCAGTGGAAGGGGTACATGCAGGTAAAATTGTTTTCTGTATGATACGAGCTATTAATTTATCTGTTTAGGAATGGCAGAAATACGTACTATAAAAAATGCGTTAGTAGTTGGTTCTCCCTACCGAATAACTCGTAAACATTCATAATTTATTTTAACAGTGGTAGAGCCCACTTTAACATGTTCGCACTAATTAGCCCGGCGCGGCCGGTGAAATACCACGACCACTCAGAAGACAAGCGTGAAGTGGAGGCAATTCCGCGTTTCGTCTGATGAGTGTACTTCCCGGACGCCTAATTTTGGTCCTCTTTCCCTTCCCAAGCTTTTTCTTATAAGGAAAGGATGGGATGTGGAAGTGGACTTTCCGGATGAGGGGATGCATGGAAAAAAAAATATTTTCTCTCTGTGCGTCCTCTCCTCCGTCGATTAAAGGTAGGCAACGCATACGCGATTGCGTAAGACCATGGGCAGCGGTTGCTTCGCTATTTCAGCGATTTCAGGTTGCCGCTCGCCACCTTTTGATATAAAAAAAATATGTTCTCTGTGAAATAATTGGCATAGTTAAATGTTTTTATACCGATGTTTCGGCAGTGGAAACTCTAGGTCACCTCCTTTATGTAAATAATTATAATATATTCCAGTTGTGGCAAATGTATACATTGTAAGCAAGGATTTTCTGGAGATTTCTGTCAATACGACGACACCGCTTGTCCAAGTCCCGGTGGCAAGCTGTGCGCAGGGCGGGGTGTATGTCGGTACGGGAAATGTGCTTGCGCCCCCGACATCACTGGTCCAGGCTGCGATTGTCCGCTGACCATTGATACATGTTATGCGCCACACTCGAAAGAGGTAAACAACTAATAACTTACTAATATTAAAAATGCGAATGTTGGGATGAATGTTTGTTAGAAGATATTTCCAGAACGGCTGCCTATGCAGCCAATCTCAGCCAGCCAAAGCCAAATCTTAGCGAGATATAGACATAGATCTAGAACATAGCCTGGAAGAACACATAGGCTACTAATTAAGTTTTTCTTCATTCCGCACGGATAGTGTCGCGGGATACAACTCGTTATTGAATATGTTAAGGCGAGGTAATGAAACTTTAACCTCCAAATCAAAGATAGTGCAGTCCAAAATAGTGTAAGATCACATTTTCCTTGACTAATTTTATTGACATATAACTCCACGTCCGTGGCAATGTCAAACTACATAAGTATACGATGAATTTAAACTTTAATTTCACATTGGTCGTTATAGATGTGTTCGGGAACTGGAAACTGCATTTGCGGCGAATGCCAATGTTTGCCAATGAAAACATCAAATCGAACATGTTCGGGACGTTTTTGCGACAACTGTGATGAATTTGCCGAGAAACGATGCCTGGAACTCGAAAACTACGCGGAATGCAATTACTTATATAACAAAACTTACTGCGACCAATTACACAACCAGACTTCTTTAACTGAAGTTAAGATTGTTGATAAATTGGACAATACACTGTCAGATCAAGGTATGGCAAAATGGTGCAAGAAGGAGTTATGGAACGGAACATTGATTTTCAAATACCTTTACCCGATTACGTCACCGAACACATTGCACGTTATCATTGCGAAGGAATTGGAGCAGCCCCCTGAAGTTAATTTATTAAGTAAGTGACCCTTTTTTTTAGAAAAAAGAAACATATTAAGCGTCAGAAGAATAAAATCAATACTTGCAGATTTTACTTAAAAAAAGTAAGGTGCATATCTTAAATATAAAATTCTCGTGTCACGATTTTCGTTCCCATACTCCTCCGGAACGGCTTGAGCGATTTTCATAAAATTTTCTGAGCATATTGAGTAAGTCTGAGAATCAGCCAACATCTATTTTTCATCCCCCTAAATGTTAAGGGTAGTCCACCCCTAACTTTTTTTTCTATTTTTTTAGACAAACACGCCGACGGAGTCGCGGGCGACGGCTAATTGTATAAAATGAAGAGAATGTCTTTTCTTTTACAGTTGCTGTAGGAGTTCCTTTTGGAATTCTTGTTCTGATAGGTCTTCTGACTATTATTATTTGGAAGATATTAGTAGATCGACTTGACGCTAGGGAGTATAAAAATTTCGCAGAGAAGGCTGCTGCAGCTGGATTCACAGTGACCGGTATTGTTAACCCAGTGTATCGTCCGCCAGCCACCAACATTACGAACCCAATGTTTGATGCTAATTTATGATTAAATTAATTAAAAGTGGCTTCGACTTTAGATTTTCGTAACTTCTAATACTTCCTGTGCCTACTCAGTCAGTCGATCATAACCATATTAGACACGAAATCCGGTGAAAACTATTCTGCTACCCTAAAAGCATAGGATATCACTCTTCAGGGGCTTCTCTAGCACACACTCGTGTCCTGTAAAGGATAGTTACTAAGCGCCCATCACTCCTTGCTGGAGGCTAGAAAGCCCTGTGTCTAATTGTTGTCTTATTTTTATGGAGAATCGAGCATTTTGATTGTTCAATAATATTGTATATTTTTCGACGAATTCAGATTAAAATATATCTTTAATTTGATTTGAAGCCAAAATTATTTACTAACAGCATCGTAATTTATTTAAATCCTTACTATCGCCGAAAATATTTACATAAAACACAATAATAGGAAGAGAATCAAAAATATCACTCATTGCAACATACTTAGCACAAACACGAATATTTGTGACAAGCGTCATCATATCGTCAATGAACAAATATTACTTTCTGCGCTGCCCCGGGCGTACACCAAAAATCTCATGCGTATTTTGTTTCAATTAAAGATGACGATACTAAGATACTTGTCGCAAATATTCATGATAGGCCCACAGAAAAGAAAGGATGTAAAATTAATTAACAGATTATTAAAATGACAAAACTTTCTGTGGGTTTATTTTTACGAAATATAATTTTTTAAATTCACAATCACTAAATTAAATACAATAAATATAAATTAATATAAAAGACAAACAAAACATTCGAAAGACATTATTAAAATTTTTCATATTTAGAAACATTTTAGGGTTGTTACCTTCCAAGGATTGTTAATTTCTTTTTAATTTTAAATACTAGTAATTTCTTTTTTTTACATTGTCCTCTAAACGAATATTCAGTTTAATCAAAATTAGTAGTTGTTAAGCAGATTTTTATAAAAAGATTTATTATTTTTTGTGTGCTCGCGGATTCGATCGATCTGTCGTACGTCGCAAACGCGTTGGCTTTTCATCGCAATATAATTTCTTTTCTCGACGCTCCTCGCCTTTACCTGAGATTGTCTGCAAAAAAAATTAAAATATAAGTTCAACGAGAGCCAAGATTAATTTAATATCTTAATATTATCGATAAGAAAGTAGACATCACTATCAAGAGCTAAATAAAAGATATGAAAAAAATGTCGCAAGATGATCATTGACCTGTTTAATTGAATTGCTTATCGATGTTAAACGCAATAGCTACATTTATCTAAGCTAGTTCGACAACATCATACAACAAACTTTAATAATCTAATTGCTTCTACTTCAAGAAAAAAAAAACAAATTTACGTACCTTTTGTGATTCCCGGTTTGTACTTCGATATCTTAGTTCAGAGCAAGGCAGTCCCGGCGCGAGATCACCAGCCGGAAGTCTTTCGTCAATGCTTACATTATAAGAATTGACGGGTGAACGCCTAAAGTACGTACAGAATTAAAAAGTGAACATAAAAAATTGTATTACAAATTATCATGTATTTATTTATTTATCATATTCTTAATATATAGTTCATTACATATATAAAGTAAAAAAATTATACAAATTATATTATATTAAAAATAGAGCACCACCGGCTGCAGAATCCCATGACTCAAACAACCAGTGGTCAGGGCTGTAGAGACAGGAACCTTCTCACGATGCGTGCGGTTTCTAGGATAACTGTTTAGCTAGAGTTTCTTGAGAGGTTGGTCGAAGCTACAATACAAATATTGTAATATAAAAATACTTACGTAGCGTTACTTTCATACGACAGCGTACTGGGGTCTTGACTTTTTGTCGGTTGTGAAGGACTGCTCGGAACCTCAAACGAGTCCCGGCACACTGCCTCACGGACTTCTTGTAAACGCCGCCTCTCCTCCGCCACTTTGCGATCTATCTCAGCGACTACGGAAAGTTCACATCAATATAAATATGAAACTAAATTTTTAAGAAAAAAAGAAAGCAGACTTCATAAAATAACCATTCACAAATAAAAAAAAAACATACTGAAACAAAAAAAAAAACATTCTTAAACAAAATGCACTAAAAAGTAACTAAATAGTATTATAACACCTTCCTTAAAGGCCGGCAACGCATCTGCGATTCCTCTGGCGTTGCGGATGTCCATGGGCGTCGGATCAAATAATATTAGGCGATTCGTTGCTCGTTTGCCCCCTTCTCCTATAAAAAAAAATAAACAAACTCTCGAAAGCAATAAATTTCTCTTCTTTCTTGAAATATGTTTAAACTTTATAATTATTATCATTTCGGAGTCGGTGTTGACCTGATGTCCTAGACCTATTTACGTTTAAGTTAGTACCTAGACCGAAACCGATTCCAAAATAACAATAATTGTAAAGTCTAGTCTAGTCTAGTAAGTCACTAGATTTGATACATTCAAGCCAATTTCTTATTTGTCGTATATCGTTTTATTTTCTTTATTAACGCGGATTCAAAGTAAACTTACTGTGTTTATTCCTTTGTCGTTGTTTGTTAATAACTTCGGTTTCTAAACAGTCTATTCTTTTACTGAGTACTTCTTCTTTACGGAGTATTGATTTCCAAGTTCTACATATTTTAAAATGCAGAAAAGAGAGCTCTTGAGCATCCAATGCCTGTAAAACAAGATTATGTTTTGTTAGAAATATTCTATTTCACCTATATTATAAATGCAAATGTTTGGATGGATGGATGTTTGTTTGAAGATTCTAAGAAGCCTGAACGGAACTCGACGAAATTTGGCATACATATAGAACATAGTCTGGAAGAATAGGCACTATTGCAATAGACATATGCTACTGATTGTTTTCTTGTTATTTCCTATCGGACGAAGTCGGGGCCGATAGCTAGTCTACTATTAAAAGTAGTTTATTCTTGTCCCTTACCTCAATATTTTCCGTCAATAATTTGTTTGCTATGTATTTCAAATATGCTTGTTCTGCAATTTTTCTTTGTTCAACATCCACTTGCTCAAATATATTGCGAATCGTATCAGAAATGTTGATATCAAGGGAACAAGTACACGGGCCGTGTACCTTTGCTTTTGGATTGTAGTTGAATTCTTCAACATCGGTTTTTGTTAATGTTTTTATTTCGTAATTTGAATTCTTCTTTACATTCTGTTTGTTTATATCATGGGAAGAAACGTTTGCCATGTCCTAAGAAATTTAAATTAATTTTATTCTTATAAGTTTCATTCGAATTAATATAATAATATGAATTAACTTACCTTATTTGCATTTGAAGGGTTATTTAAAATAATTTTTGCTCTTAACATTTTGTTTTCTTTCTCAAGTTTATCAACTTTTCGCATTGCATCAATGCTCATACTTCTTAAATTATCAGTTTCATTTTCGTGTACCTTTAAAATATCTTGTAATGTTTCCTCGTGAAGACTTTGTAAACTTTGGACACCTTGGTTATGTTCATTCATAATATTTTTAATATTATTGTCATATTGTGCTTTGATTGCTCGAATCTTTTCTTTGTAACTCCTGTCTATATTTTCTAAAGTACTTGTAAGAAATTTGATCTTTTCTTGATGGTTGTCGAATTGGACCATGACTGCGACATCTTTAGTCTTTACGTTGTCGATATTAGTGACATTTTTACCATATTTAACATTCATTTCTTTTGGTATACCAATCAATAAGTTTGAATGTTTTGCAATGACTGGGCTATTTGTAAAAGCATGCGGCTTCCTAAGTTGTTCATTGCTGTATGTCCTTCTTAGAAATTCATTGAATATTTCAGTATTCGTAAGTTCAAGGTGTCCATTATTGTCGTCTCTTTTGTTTTCAATTCCAATTTTATTTAATGTATTCGTAGTGTACTCAATACTTTTTCCAAATGCGGTTTCCCCTTTTGTTAAATCTAATTGCGAAGTAGTATTCACTGAATCATTTATTTTATTGTTTCCGTTATATAAATAACTATTGTGATCTAATATATTCTGTTCATACAAGTACAAGTCGATCTTAGTTTTGGGCACACTGTTAAATATTATTTCTTCCTTATGGTTTTCTTTCACTTCTACAGGATCACAATTTTCCCTATGTGACTTTAGAGAAGTAAATGACCGCGAGAGGCGACTATCAGTTCCTTTACTGCCATTTATTCCATTTCTCTGCTCTGCTTTACTAACCTTTTTTACAATAGCCAGATCTTTTATAAAAGTTGTTTCGCTTAAGGAGATGTGCGAATAAACAGGTTTTGAGGCTAGCAAATTACCTTTATCTTCATCACTCAAAGGTTTCACATTCTCAGTATTATATTTATTCTCTTCAAATGATTTTGTATCAGATATTATTTTTGCAGAATAATAATCGTTTTGTGGTAGAAGTATTTCTCTGCTAACTGTCTTATATATTGGTTCATTTAATCTCGTTTTTTCTTTCAGAATTTCTGTATTGATTTTACTTTCGTCACAATCGGAGTCTCGATAAATAATAATGAAATCCTTATTAGTAACAACATTTGAATGAGTTAAAGATAGATTCATTTCATTACTTTCGCTAGTAATAGTTAAAATATTATCAGTACTAATTTCTTTCACCTTTGCAACATTTGGTGCACCAATTCCAATTTTATCACTTTCCATGTTTGATATTAAACTGAATGAAGTAATATCATCATCGACAATTTTATACGTCGATACTTTGGAAGCTATTTCTAATTTTGTCGCATTATTAATCGGACTTGAACTCATTTCATTTCCTTGACATGATTGCTTACTCACAGAATCAAATGTATCATTGCTAATACATGAAACCGAGTATTGTTCCATTGCTGTAAAACTAAGCTTCTTCATTTTATAGTTTACATACGCATTTTTTACAAATCCTAAAGTTGGCTCTACATTTGCTGTTAAAATTTGGACTTCCTTGACATCATGTTGTATATTAATTAACAAGTGACTTTCCTCTTTATCTGATTTTGGTACGATACAACCATCGGATTGCTTATTCAGGACTCTTCCTTCTTCGAAGCCTCCAATAATTTTATTATTCATATTAGTCTCGTGTAAATAACTACTATCAATCTCATTCAAGTCTAGTTTTTCAGTTTGTGTTGATATGTTCGTTAAATTATTTTCTAATACAGTTTGTGCAGAAAAATCGATTACTTGTTTATTTTTTAAAACATCTAACATAGATTTGAGATATTTAATATCTTGACTTTTTTCTTGAAGCTCCAATTTAACTTTATTAATTGTTTCTTCATTTTCTTTTTTGTCATTATTAGCATCTTCTATTTGCGCTTCTAATTCATTTATTTTATCTAATGCTTTACTATACATGTCTTGCATAGAACAAATTTCCTCTTCCAATTTTAAGATATAAATTCTTACAGATTGTTTAAGTTTATCGATCAAAAGCTTTTGATTAAATAATTCAGCTTCTAAGTCATTAATTACACTTTTGTCTTTAGATAATTGATTTTCTAAGGTTTTCTTAATAACGCTTAATTCTTTCTGTGCGTCTAGTTTCTCTTTTATTGCTTGCTCCTTTTCTTTGGATATTTTTTGCTTTTCTTTTTCAACAATTTTTTTTGCCTCATCAGCTTTGCTTAACACTAAATTACATGAATTATTTCTTGTTTCAATGTAATTGTCAATTCTTTCCAATGACGTCATTATACTTTTGAGGCTACAATTATCTGGTGACAAAGCGCTATCACCAACACATTTAATTTCAAGTTGCTTTATATCCGTGGCAATAATTTCTCTTTCGCCACTTAACCGACTTTCATTTTCTTTAGCAGATGTTTCAACTTCTATCATAGTCGTTGAGAGTTTTTCTTCTAATTGTAGATTTTCATCCTTTAACTTTGCCAATTCAATTCTCATATTATGTGTTGCTTTAGAATCTAAAACATGTTTTTTTTAAGTTAATAGCTTAAAATATTAAAAGTTATATATAATATTCACCAATTCAAGTCTTACGGTGTGCTTCCATTATCTTCAGTGATTGATCTATTTCGTGTTTCCTGACATCTCTATTCTCGCCTATATCTAACATGGTTGCTAGGCTTGTTTGTAATCTTTGGACTTCATCTCCTAATTCATTAACTTGATTCTCTAAAATAGCTATTTTATCATCACGATCAGCAATTCCTTTACCAAGATTAGCTATAGTTTGATCCTAAAATAAAACATATAATTAATAACCAGTCTTTATCATGTATATTTCGCTTTCGTAGCTATTAAGTATTGAGTAACTAAACGTAAAACACATTTTATATTATTATTATTATACCAGTATATTTTACCCACATTCAAAAAAACAGATTATCGATTATATTGAACTATTCTTTTTGTACATTAAACTTAAATGTTTACCGATTCTTTCAATTCGTTCAAAAGTTCTTGGATTCGGTTCAGATTAGAATAATTCTCTTCTTTAATTTTCTCGACTTCATTTTTTATATCAACCACTTGTAAAGAGCTAGATGATTTTGCCTGTAGTTGAAGCTGAAAAATAAATATAATGTATCAAAACAAACTAATTTAATATAAATAATTTATTAAAATAAGGCCTTGAATGCGACATACAAAATATACTAAATACTCGTTAAGTACTTTCTAACAGTAGCTTTCATAACATATCGTTTTTTTTACAAATCTGTGATAAGACCTAAGGGTCTTAAGGGATGGTAAGCCATACAGTACGAGCTAGAGATTTAGACTATTAAAGAAATAGAGGTAAAGCAATTGCATACATTAGGAATAAAAATATTGAGATAAATTTCTGGATTTGACAAATGTACAAAGCAGTAATTAAGAAGTAGACTGAAAATAGCATCTGTGATATTTTACCTCTTTTCTTGCTTTTATTAAAGTATCTTCTATGTTCTCATTATATGCCATTAGATTCTTAGTTGCTTCTTGCAACTCTTGATTTCTTATCTCTAGATTTTGCAAAAGAATTGCTTTAGATTGTAATTCAAGCTCAAGATTTTCGTTTTCTTTTTTAATTTCATCGTAAGAAGTTTTTAACTCATCGTGGTCATTTTCTAAAGCTGCTTTTAATTTTATTTTATTTGTGAGCATATTATTTTCCTCTATTGTCGCGTCCAGAGATCTCTTTATGTTAAAGTTTTCCGATTGCAATGAATCTATTTCATTTTGTAATAATTGTTGTTGTTCTTGTAGTGCTTGGATTTCTGTAACCAATTTTACGTTTTCATCTTTTTTTGACTTTATGTCACTTTGTAAATTATTAATTTCACGTGTTTTTCTAGATATTTGATCTTCAATATTATCCTTTTCGAGAAGTAAATTATCATATTCTCTACATAAGTTAAAATAGTTCTGTTCCAACGTTCTAACTCTCTCCGAAAGTGAAATGAAAAGTTTCTTTTCTATTTTCAACTTAGCTAATATGTTCAACTGATTCTGAATTTCATGATTTTTAAGTAATAAATCATTCTTTAAATTATTATTTTCTTCAAACATTACATCGTTTCGGTGTTTTATCATTGCCAGCTCATCTTTAATTTTTTTGTTTTCTTCCAAAACAGTTGTAAAATACTCTTTTTGTTCTTTAAGTACTTGAATTTGAATATCCGCTTTGTCGAGTTCAATTGACTTTTCCTTCAATTTATTTAACAAAATACTTTTTTCTTCTTCAAGATTTTCATACAAGTTTTGTGAAACCTTTAAATTTTCTTTCAACTCATCTATTTCTCTGAGTTTACTTTCTAATGCCTCATTATCTTTTTCTTCTAAATGTTTTATACTTTCATGACTTTGGCTTATTAAATTTTTGATACCTTCAGTATTAAGTGCGACAAATTTATCGATTTCATTTAGCAAGACATCACTTCCACTGGTTTGGTTGTTTAACGTTCTTATGTCCTTTTCGTCTGATTTTTTTACACTAATCTGTAAGTTATCGTCAGTTTTCTCACTATTTACTGATAATCTCCCATAATTACTAATAGTTTCTAATAATAATTTACTTTCTTTACTGGCCAGATTTAAAGAATTTAGAGCTTCTTTTTTTTCACTTTCTAGTTCTTGAATTTTGTCATTAAAAAGCTGGTTCATTTCCTGCAACTGGTTAGAAAGGTTACTGTTTTCCTGTTTTATACTGTCTGCTTCCATCATCAAACTTTTCGACTCTAAACATTTGTTAACTAATTCATCTTTTAAATCTTTCTTTTCATTGAGTAACTCTTGATTTTCATTGGTTAAATTTTTAATGCAGTCTTGCAACTCGTCTATTAATGTCTCTAACTTTTCGTTACGTTCAATCATCTTTTCATTTATTTCTGAAAATTTTTAAATTTATTCAATTTAATGTTCTACTGCAAACAGTGACATAATATGTTATATTATATATACTTGCTAATTATTAATTAACAAGGCATTAAATAGATAGAAACTATGTCTCGGCAGACACCTGGACAATCATAAAATCATTTTCGGTAATTTGGAATTAATAGTTGCTATTGATGATTCTAGGTTACACTAGTAATTTCTACAAACCTTTCCATTTTTCTATTTCTAGATTATCCATCATAAGTTTCTCGTGGAATTCATTTTTCAGGTGGTTATTTTCGTCCTCTTTATAGTAAAGAGTATCTTTAAGATTTTTAACTTCCTGCTTTAGTGAATTTATTTGCTGTATAAATTCTTCTACCTCATGTTGACATTCTCTTTCGGCCTGCAAAAGTATTTTATCAAGAAATTAGTTAATATCTAAATAATCGTGATATTATTTAAATTGTTACTCATGCACTAACGTTGTCTTTATTGTTCCTTAGAAACTTGTTTATCTCAATTGTCAGAGTTTCTATTTGTTGATCTTGACACATAATCTTGCATTCACTTTCTTTTAATTTACAAATTAAGGTATGCTTTTCTTTTTCCCAATCAGTAGAGGATTCGCTTAATTTATTTTTCATTGATATATTCTCACTTCTGAGCTGTTCCAACAACGATGATTTTGAATCAATTATTTCAGTTTGAGCACGTAACTGCGTTTCCAAAGTAGATGTTTCATCAGCCAGTACTATAAATTTCTCTTTAAGACCATCAAGGTCTTCTGAACGTTTTCTGTAATATTCTTTTTCCGTAAGTACCATATTGTAAGAATTTAATTTGTTCTTCAATATTTCATATTCTTTTTCAAGTTCATCATATTTTAGACATTTTTGTGTCATACAATTTTTTTCATATTTCAATTCATCATAACACAGGAGGAGTTCGTCATAGCAAGCTTGTAAATTCTTTAATCGATGCAAATTTTGTACTTCTATAGTGCAGCTGTTGTTGATAAACAAAGTTTCATTTGCTAAAGCATGTTCTTCTCCGGACGTATTACTTTTGTATAAAATTTCTTTCATCTCATCATTTCCTATTATATCAGCGACAAGATGTGCTCTTTTACTATCGATATTTATTTCGAAGTTTTCTTGTGTAGTCACCGCGAATGCAGTTTCTACTCTTGAAATTATCTCCGTATGATAACACGAGCAGTCTTTTGAACAAGGAGAAATTAGGGCGCAACAGAATTTTTCAAATACCTTCAATTTATAAAAGATCTTCCCCTTTATGTCGATGTTTCGTGTGTCTTTTCCCGATGTCTGTAAAAATATTGAAAAGTATTATATACTAGCAGTCACGCACGACTCCGTCCGCGCGGAATTAGAAAAAAACTTAGTAGTCTAAATGTTCTTTCAGACTACCTTCTACATATGTGCCAAATTTCATCAAGATCCGTTGAGCTGTTCCGGAGATACCTTAATAATTAGTAACATCAATTTGTTTTAAAAAGAAGAAAACTTTTTTTATATTTACCAAGAGATCAAGATAGTGCTTGTATTTTTCATTTTGACATAAAGTACCAAATATTTTTTCTAATGCTGTGTAAATATGAGCATATATACAATAAGGTTCACATACGTCATTTTCCATTACCTAAAAGAAAATAATAAAAAAAAATTGAAATCAGTCAAGTTGAAATAACATTAAATTTCCCCAATAAAAAGACACTTACAGCAATTGTATTTCGCATCGCATTCAATTTAGCATCTTTTCTGATTATAGTATCTGTCATTTCTTCGATCCTTGGATCATGGACAACTGAAATTAATAATTATCATTTATTACAAAACGTTTATTAAAATCTCTTATTAATAATAACAATCAAATCCATTACCAGTGCTTGCATCGCACGGACAGCTAACAGGTCCACTCTGGACGTGTGTTTGTGTTTCTTTACACGGATAAAATGATTTGTCCACAGATCTCTAAAATCATATCATTTGAAATTAGATTTGGCAGACATCAAAGAGAAAACAAAGGCATGTAATAAAAAAAACATTGAAACATACTCGTACCAAACCAGTTCACTAATAGAATTTCTCTCAGAATACAAATACGTGCTAGAGAATAATATATAGAAATATTTACTTAAAGACACTTTCGTACGTTACATATCCGTCTTAAAAACTTTGGCTAATACAATATAATAATAATACAAACCTCGGTTGCTATTGATGAGCTAGTCTGAAATCAAACGTAAAATTTAATACCAAAATGATTGAGCACTTAAGTATATTTTTATTAACAATCCATTTTTTTTTTGTATTTGACCTTTTGACAGACTTTGTCCAATAATAGCGTGTGCTAACATTTTAAATCTTAGGAATAATTACTTTTTGTGCCTTTTGATCGAAAGAGAATGTGGAAATGTGTAAAGTCAAAATAATTGTTGTGAAATGTACTAATTTTGGAAATTAGTGAGCGTTATATTTAATACCTCAAAGTCTGGAAATCTCATTATCTGAAAATTCAACGAGTGTACATTAATTTTGATATGCTTGAATATACACAAAATATTATTAAAAGCGGTAGTACAGCAAACAAAAAAACTAAGTAACCGTTAGTAAGCAATGAAAGAAATTTACCTCATCTCCTCTTGATTTTCCCGTCTAAAAATATAAATATTTATTAACAAATTATTCAAATTATTAACATATCATGCAAAAATTAAGTAAAATATAACATACCTCAAAAGTTTCAGAATCAATACCCTTAAAATGAAAATAAAAATTAATTTGCGCATTTATTAACTTGAAAAAACATACCGTATAAGTAAATTACCTCCGTGAATCCTGACAGATCTAGATCCAGACACTAAAAACAATAATAACAATTTAGCAACAATAGTAATAATATTTAGATATTAAGAATTATAATACTTACCATATCATCGAGTTGTTTATTGGCAGCTTTTATAGCTGCATGCTGAAACAATTTTGCAATAAGAATATTTGCTGATGGTAACGAAGAATACAAAATCAATTTACTTACAGCATTTGCTATCTCATTCTTTTGTTCATTTGTAAGTTCAAGCTGATCGTATGCTGCTAACAATTGTTCAAATTCTTCAATCTTTCGTCTCAAACGATTAATTTCTGTGTTCTTCGTGACCATAAGTGTGTTGACAATGACGTCAGTTGGTATATACTTTGGTCTGCCGGTGTCATTGTTTCGTTTTATGATTTCCACCAAATGGTCACTTTTGTCCGAACAAAAATGTGACCAGGCTCTCGCGTCTGTGCATGATGAGTACGCTTTCAACTTTCCTTCATTCCTCGCGGGCAAGTCAACAAGATCATACTCGTTAAATACTCGTTCTCTTTTCGATATAAATGACATGACTTAACGTAAACACAAACAGTTAGATAAATTTAAGTAACCGACATTATGACATATTTACGATGAATATTTTACATTATTAAATTTTAAATCCATGAACAATATCGTAATATCAATTATTATAAACAGTATCTAAAATAATAAATATTTTGAACTGTCAAACAGTCGCGATTGAGAGATGTCTTTAAATCGAATGACATTTTTTAAAAACATTTAATATTCATATTATGTTACTAACCAATTATAAAATAAATAAGGAACCCCATAGATAAAAAGGAAAGACTGTCTATCTTTTCCATTCCATTTACAATTTGTTGCTTTTTACTTTCTAGTTTCTCTTAACAGCCTTTTAAAATGTAGCATATAATATTCTCATAATTCAGAAATATTATTCAGGAAAAATAATTCGGAACGTAATGACAAACGTCGCAACATTTCCTCATAGTCATTACTTTTCAAATATCAAAATTGTTTGTCATGAAGTTCGAGTGGATAAAATATCTGTAAAAATAAATTCAACCGGTTTTCTTCTTCAATGAATTATACATATCACAGAAAAACAATTTTACCGTCTCGCAACGAAGGCAAATTGAAATCTTATGACTCTTGTTTCGACCTGCGAGCTTGGAGTCATGATATGAGTGCGCGCGATCGCTATCTGAGGGAATGGATGAAGTGCAATATGCCGCCCTGCCTATTGCCTTTGTCCACTTTAAACAATTTATTAAAATCAATGTCTTGCAGGAACATAGGTCAAGTGAGTACAAAGTTATATTATTTTTGTTGTTTGACTATGGGTGTTCACCGTCTCCTTCCATATCCCATCTCTTTTTAACATTGCCATCTATATCTAACTTTATTGGGTTTTAATTGGTGCTTTCATATAGTCGATGAGTATGTTGATATCCGTGATTGATAATAGTATACTTACAATAATAACTAGATAATTACTTTCTAAAAATAGGTAGCTCCACGTTGTCATCCTGATTGTAAATCCAAAAGGATTTTGGAAACAATTTGTACGTCGTGTCAGGCTATGAAAGACTGTCTCAAAAATAGTGAAAAGATGGAACATTTCTTTGAGGAAGTACGTGATTTTTTTCTTACATTATCAAAATTTACCTATAAAATTAAAAGGTATAAAGTGACGAATGGTTTTTTATAGGAGGAATTAGAAACCGGACATTGGCCATGCGACAAATGCTTAAGTGCATTAAAAAGTATACGAACATTTTGGAAAGTAATTTTGTGTAAGATTTTAAAAATTAATACCGTTCCTAAAGCTGAGGTTATAACTAGAGAACATCGAAGTTCGACCGACTACATAAACGGCGTAGCTAAAGCTTGGCAAAAGGACATAATGGAGCAAGCTGCTTACGTCAGAAACCTAATACCTTCGCTGACGACTAGCAGCTTTACTTGGAGAGGTCACAAATGTGACAGGCACGACGAGAATTTATTATACCCAGAAAATGACATTTCTGCACATGAATTACCTGAAATGAATTTAAAACGTAAAAGAAGTAGAGTCATATGTAGATCTCAGACATTCAAAGAAAAAACTACAGACTTTGCGGCCACGAGTACTGTGAAATTGTTAGATATTGGATGTGATCCTTTGAATCATGTTGACGAAAAATTAAACAATTACTTAACAACATTGCAAGGCCAATTAGAAACACAAGCTAATGAAGTTGAGGAATTGAAAAGAGAAAATTATTCCCTTAAAAGTAAATTATTGGAAGTCCGTAAACTGCAATCGCGGTTGTCGTTTCATCGTCCAGCCATTTTCAATTCAGTCTGTGATAGTAATTATGATTTAAAACCTTTAGATACAAGCTCCGAAGAAAACTTTTCTACTGCTATACCAAAAGATAATAACTCCGAAGTAATGATCACCGTCAAAAACTATCGAACAGAGGTAAAGTTAAAAGAAAGCTTGTTAATTACTTTCTAATAGTAGTTTTAATAATAATTATATCCTTATAGGATTTCAAACATGTATGTATGCTGCAAGTTGTTCATAAAACCAATAAGTCAACTGAAAATTTTGCTGTAGAAGAGTTACGTTGCTGCAGTAAACAAGATCCAATAGAATTGCTAACTAAAGGTAAAGCATTCACTATAAACAAATTGAAGTTTCTATAATGAATTAAAATATTAAAAATTCCTTTTAAATTTCAGTGCAGAAAACATTCGGACAAATCGTGAGAAAAGAAATAACCATAGCAAATAAAGACCACAAATGTGCTGATCAACAAGACATTAACGTGACTTTCAGAAAACAAATTCTTTGATGATTCTTTTGATAGTTTTAATACTTGAACAAACGTACCGTACAAATTGTGTAAGTTTTCTGATGTTTGGTAATTTTAAATTGCCACATATAGATATGGTTTTTATTAATTTTTAATTACATGTAGGTGCAATATTTGTGTTGTTAGAAGTGAAAATGTAGACGTCTATACTAGATGTTGATAAATAAAAGAAAAAGGAATGATAATGTGTGTTTTAATTGTAAAAAACCGTTTTAAAAATATTGTTTTCTTAAACTGCTGTTTAATTTATGAACTGTGACATAATATTTAATAAACGATCATAAATTAATTTATTGGCGTCGTTAGCGAAAACAAAATCCAAATGATTGAAAGTCTTCATTGGTACTCGATACTTGCCAACGACGACAGGCAGTTCCAGCATTAGTCTGTGTACATCAGTCGGTGTTGACAACCAATCATTGTCAGCATAATGTAAGAAAACCGGTGACGTTATAGCAGTTAAGTTATAAGACGGAGGTTGTCTACTTCCATAGAGTCGTCTGTTCTTGAAACGTCCATAGTCGAATTGAACGAATTTGTTTGAATTGTACAACTGGCCGAAATGGATTATTTGCTTCGTTGACGCGCCCGCAGGAGTATGTCCAAGCACCACTGGTAACATTGTCTGGAAGTAATATTTCGTGTTTCTCAATAGAAAAAAAAATCGCCATCCGTTCAATAATTAGAAACTAGATATATAGAGCCAGCGAGGTAAAGGTCTTCTTCTTTTTCTTCTTGAGGTGCCTCTCCGACTAACGAAGGTTGGCGATCAGTTCTCCATATTTAAAGGTAGGTATTATAAGTAAAGGTCTAGTCGCTCTTAAATTATTGTACAGACGAGTCCTTCGGCAGGGACGTCTACGATCAGTTCATACAAGATGATAAGTGCAGCTTTCTTATTATAAAAAAAAGTGTTAAGCTTATTGGTTTTTACTTACATTATTTAGTTGTTCGTTATTAAATCCGCAAATCAGAAATAAAAGATTTTTACATAAAACTTGTGTCACAGCCTCTTCCAAGCAGAATTTTTCTCCGGCCAGTTCATTTATTTTACCATTAGGCAAAAATTCATTGGCGCCTAACATTTTCATGACGAGCTGAAAATTAATATATTGAATTCAATTTTATTAACGCTAAAAAAAATTAATTGAGACTATTGTGATAAATGAAGAATTTTAAAGATTGATGTGGACATTTTGAAAAATTACTCACTTCAAGAGAATTGGTGAAGGGTCCAAGAGTCTTTATAAGAGGGCTTTTTATGTTGCTTATAAAAGCGATTGGTGCTAGAGCGTGCATTGCCGATATTTTATTGTTATATTCAGGTCTCGTGGAAGCCATTACCCAGAATGCTGTGGTTCCTTGAGAGAAACCAATATATTGTACTTTATCGACGCCTGTTTCGTTAAGGACATAATCTATCATTGCTGGTAGGTCATAATAACCAATCTCGTGCCAACTGAACTGCCAAAACGAAGATTGCGTAGGTTTTGTGGAAACATGATGGCGAGAGTATGTGTTGCCTCTGGCATTTCCCATCCACACGTCATAGCCTGCATCAGCTAGAATATAAGCTGTAAAATTAAAAAAAAATACATTAGTACTAACGTTTTTTGGACCCTTTTCTGTTTTATTATTAAGGCATTTAGTATTCACACCTTAATTGTTTTTAAAATATCAGGTGCTATTTACTTCCTTGGAGAAATTAAGTGGAAAATCAATCGGAGATGTTAGTTTTTTTATATCTAATTTCATACATAATTTTGTCGACACGGAATGTGGCTCTACACATCCACTGAGCATAACACAGATTTTCATGATTTATCTTACCAAGTCCCTTCCCAGGCCTCATAAGTACCCACTCTGCAGATGATGAAAGTAAGCCATGTTGGAGAAATATAACTGGCCTACTGCTATTGCTTGTTTTGTTTACCCCGTGAGGTACTCTGTGCATTTCCAAAATATATTTGTCTTCTGTATACACTCGATGTATCTCGCAAGGATAGCCATATTTACGTATAAGTGTGAACTGAAATTAATGTTAACTTTATTATATAGTACTATAGTTGTCTGTTTATTTAGGTATATCTTATCAATATTATAAATGCGAAATCTCCACTAACACCAGGTGGGATCGTGGTCAAGCGCTGGCATATAAAACGTAAAAAAAAAGATCGTTGGATTGATTGATGGATGGATCTCGAGAATGGCTGTACGGATCTCGCAAAAATTTGGCATATATGTAGAAAATAGTCTGGAAGGACACATTGGCTACTAGTGAAGTTTCTTTTTAACACGACGCGGACGGAGTCGCTTTCGAAAGCTAGTTAATAATAAATAAGGTGTCGACTCTATATTACCATTTTTTATGACATTGGTAATCATTACACGAGTCAAATAATTTAAACGTGTCTTGTTCTTAACAGATCAAACTTGTTAAACCGTAACCTTTATAAAATTATTATAATACTAGCTATCACCCACGACTCCGTCCTCGCAGGGTGAAAAAACAACATAAGTAGCCTATGTGTTCTTCCAGACTATTTTCTATATGTATGCCAAATTTTACCGAGATTCGTTCAGCCTTTCTGGAGTTACTTTCAAACAAACATCCATCCATCTAAACATTCGCATTTATATTAGTAAGATTTATACTTACGGTATCCAAAATAGAATCTTCTATGATACTTTGATCTGTTCTTATGATTTTATCTACGAAGTTATTTCCATGAACACTTAAAAACAAATACAACAGAACGAATTTGTATAATATAATATTAACAAACGCCTTTTGTTTAATCATATTTTGAAGAAGATGAGCTATTTGTTTTATGGATTAAACATAACTGATAATTCAAAAGCGATGTCTCTGATAACACAAGAATAACAATAACATATTGTTTTATCATTTTAAGTACTAAATAAACAAAATAATTTAATTATCACCATTGACTACTACTCAAAGTCTGTAAGTGTTGTTTTTGTTTTTTTAATTTTTAAGAATAAATGGGGCAAAAGAGCGAAGGGAACACTGGTCAACGACTCTAATTGACATCCTCAATACAAGAGGAATCACAGTTGAGTTGCCAGCGTTTGAGTTTTTTTTTGTTTTATATTGTTTTCATTCCTTCCTTGCGATTTCAGAACTGCAACATAATTTTTTATTCGATGTGTCTGAATGACCACTACACTTTGAAGTAATTTGGCAGGGTCAGCCTCATTTGTGTTTAGCGAAGCTTTTACCTTTATGATTCAGGGTTTAGCGTAATTCCTTATATTAATTAAGATTGAATTATATTTCACACAAGAGTTACAACATATCAGACGATTATCTAAATCCCGGTTTCTCAATAGTAAATAATTAGACAAACATATAATAAAACTGATAAGACAGACATATGCAATGTTATATATAAAATTAAAATTAAAATCTTCAACTTCGTTCGACCTCTGTCATGATGAAGATTTAATTATTAAATTGTAATAATATCACTTTATTATATTAAGTAGGTATATATCTCATCGTAAATATAAATAAGTAGGTAAAGTTTAACGTCGAGACATTCCACGAGGAGGAAAATCGTTTACAGTTTCCTTGTTACCAATGATTCTGTATGTACCGGAAAACAAATGATTTAATTCTATAGGCTTACAAATTAAGGCGAAGCTACACAAATAGAAATTATTTCTTATAATAAGGAAAAAAAATAGAAATAAGGAAAAATAAATTAATCGCCACTCATCGTGTTATTTAGGTTTATTTTGTCGAAAAATTGACGAAACACGAGAGGATGGTTCGCGAACAGATGCGTTTACAACATCGATTTAGAAATAAAGGAGTTAAGTTAAAAAAAAGGTGGTAGTGAGGCTTCAGATTCTTAAATCCTTTCATAATTCGTCCACATTTTTTTTATAAATTAATAGCTGTCGTCCGTGACTCTGTCCGCGCGGAATTAAAAAAAAAAAACTTATTAGCTTATTTTTTTTTCTGTACTATGTTCTACATTTGTGCCAAAAGATCTGTGCAGCCGTTCTGGAGATACCTTCGAACAAACATCCATCCAAACATTCGCATTTATAATATTAGTACGATAAATGTAACTTTAAACAATTACAGACCATTTATCAAACAACTACACCTTAAGCAAGATCAAAATACAATGGGAGTTTGGGTTATTAATGATCATTACTCATTGTAAACAAGTAGTGCAAAGTTAAATAAAATGTATTTTAAAACAGTATTTACTTTGATATTATATATTATATTCATTTCTACAGTTTATACTTTAGATTTATGTGAAAATCACAAGAGTTGTGACATATGCATTAGAGATTCAAATAACTGTGTTTGGTGTGCTGAGGTAAACATATTTCTTCATAATATTGATGTTAAATATATTAATTTTAAAACTTAGCAACGAAGGACATAATAAACTAACATAACAGCAAAAAATACTAATCATTGTACTCATAGTCGTAATCAATCACTTGCTGAAGAACTTTTTAAATGTACTGTAAGTGATAAATTAAGAATTTAAACTATTTACACACACACACAGTAAAATGTTACATCTTTATATATATAATTCTTCTGTGCGTGTGTATGTCACTGAACTTCTCTCAAACGACTGGGCCGATTTTGATGAAATTTTTTGTGTTTTTTCAAGGGGATCTGGGAATGGTTTAGATTCACAATTTTGTCCGCTGGACAATGTTTTTTTAATTAATTTTTAATTTATTAGTAGTTGTTGATTTTGGAATGTTTTACATTGGATCCGACAGACAGCGCTACCATCGCAGTGTCAAATTTTAAATAATATTCGAATTAAAGACGCGTAGACAGGACAACGTCTGTCGGGTCCGCTAGTATATTATAAAGCGAATGTTTGGAAGGATTGATGGATGGATGGATGTTTGTTAGAAGGTATCTTAAGAACGCTGTCATAGATCTTGCTGAAATTTGGCATAGATAAGTTGGAAAAGCAGATAAGCTACTAATTAAATTATCTTAAATCAGTGATTCCCAAACTTATTTTGTCTACTGCCCACTTTTAGAATAAATATTTTTTAACGCCCCCATATTTTCACAAATTTAAAACCACTATAACTTCAAATTAAATTAATTAATTATTGTGACCTATATATGTATATTAACGGAGAATTCTAAAGAAAACTTTTACTATAACCCGCAACTTGAAACCTGCAGCGCCCACAAGGGGGCGTTATCGCCCACTTTGAGAAAGACTGTCTTAAATTCTACGCATACCGAGTCACGAGCGACAACTAGTAGTAAAATATATAAATTAAATAGTCACATGTATGATTAAAAAAAATCTATTAATTTCAGGACAACTGGAAAGGTTATCGTTGCAAATCTGTTTTCACTGAGGATTGGTGTCCGAATAATAGAATAAATCCAACAAGCTCTATAATTGTAATCGAGGATAAATCATTCAGTTCAGATCTTGGTAAAACTGTACAAATAAGACCGCAGCAATACAACGTCGATTTGAGAATTGGACAAAAGATCAATTTTGATTTCTCTTACGACGCAGCTAAGAATTATCCTGTTGATATATATTTTTTAATAGATGTTTCTAATTCTATGTACGAAATAAAAAGAAGAGTGGCTGATCAAAGTAAACGGATATTCATGACATTAAGCAATCTAACGAACAATGTTTATTTAGGTCTAGGTACATTTGTTGAGAAGAATGTATTACCTTTCACATCGTAAGTACTTAATTTATTAAATAATGTTTGCTCTCATAAATATTATACATAACAGACATTTAATGAATCTAAGGTAACAAAGATACTGTTAATTCATTCCTTGCTAATGATCTTTATAAAAATTCCAGAGAAATCAATAGTAATGAAACCGCATATTCATTTAGACATCAAGTAAAGTTAACTGAAAGCTATGATAATTTTAAAACGGTATTGTCGAAAACACCTTTGAGAAAAAATTATGACGAACCAGAAAGTGCATTGGACGCGCTCGCTCAAGTGATGGCGTGCAAAGAAGAAATCGGTTGGAGGACACAGTCTAGAAAAATTGTAGTACTATTAACAGATGCATCATACCACGTGGCTGGAGATGGCAAAGCTGGTGGCATTATAAAGCCATACGATGGAAAATGTTATACCAAAAATGGTGTTTATTTAAACGAAGCAAAAATGGATTATCCATCTGTAGGTATTATAAACAAATTAGCAAGAGATGAACAAATCATAGTTGTGTTTGCTGTCGAATCAAAAGTACAGAACCGTTACACTAAGTTAAGTCATGCTCTACGTCATTCATTTAGTACTACATACGACAGTAGTGATATGGATGAAATCTTAAAGAATATCTATGAGGTATTTATTGTCTCTCAATTCGTCTGTAGTGTGGAGATTTTGAACTTGAGTATTTAAATAGTCACACTTTATCTTTTTACAGGAAATAACACAAAAGATAAAATTGGAAGTAAAATCAGAATATATTAAAAAATTGGATATCACTTTTAAACCAGATTGTTTCACGTCAGAAGAAAATGAATGTAACGTAAAGAAAGGTGAACAAATCAATTTTACGGGAACGATTAAACTTTTAGATCAAGTACCATCAAGAAAATTTACAATTGATGTTTTAATTGGAGGCATCAAGGAGAAATTAACACTTAACATGAATGTCATTAACAAATGTAACTGTCCAACTGTTGAGAATTCGACAGACTGTAGCTCTTTTGGTAATCGGAGATGTGGAATATGTGAATGTTATCCTGGCAGGTTAGTAAACATGTTAGAGTTCAAATCATTCTATAATAATACTCAATTTCTCAAAGAATATTTAAAATTTCATGACATTTCACGAATTTCTTCTATTGATCAGGTACGGTGGAGAATGCGAATGTACAGCGACAAGCACTGGCCGCCGCTCTGACAATACGACCTGCATCGCGCCGGGTGACACTAACACCTGCAGCGGCCACGGTTTCTGTCACTGTGGAACCTGCAATTGCAGAGATGGGTAAATTACAATCAACATTAATATAGGGCTGTCCCATACAGCTTAAATACCAGTCATTGGACCCTTTTTGCTAAAGTCAAATTGTATTTAATGAACTGATCAGATCATACAGTAGGATCATTTTCAGTTTCGGTGTTCATCTATCTGGTACTTCATAACTCGTAGGTACAATGGACGGTTCTGTGAATGCAATGTAAACAGTTGCAAAATGGACGCGAGCGGTGCCCCGTGCAGCGGGCATGGGCTCTGTGTTTGCGGCGTTTGCACTTGTACCTCAGCCGACTGGATTGGCTCCGACTGCAGCTGCTACAAGCCAAATACACCATGCCTTGTCGACGGCAAAGTAAGTGTTTACTTACAAAATGCTCATTAGACTAAAACTACAAATTTAATCACATTTCTTCCTTACCACGTTGAAATTGCTTCTTTATCATACTTCAGTATTTCGCTTGATGATTAAGATCCCTTAGTCCATCCTTTCTCAATAACAGTGGTAGAGCCCGCTTTAACATCTTCGCACGAATTGGCCCGGCTCGCCCAGTGAAATACCGACGACCACACAGAAGACAGGCGTGAACTGGAAGCAATTCCGCGTTTCGTCTGATGAGTGTGCGTCCCGGAGGCTTCCCCGATCCTTTTTCTTATAAGGAAAGGATGGAAAGTGGAAGTGGACTTTCCGGATGAGAGGATGCATGGAAAGGGAAAATATATTTTTTCTGTGCATACTCTCCTCCGTCGATTAAAGGTAGGCAACGCTTATGCAAATGCGTAAGTCTATGGGCAACGGTCACTTCGCTATTTCAGCGATTTCAGGTGGCCGCTCGCTCGTTTGCCACCTTATGATATAAAAAAAAAACATTTTTGTACCACATTTGTTTCTACCATAAACTTGTTAGTTGTATTACAGACAATAATCTTATATTGTCATGTACAGGTGTGCAACAATCGTGGTAATTGTGAATGCGGCTCATGTACGTGCCAGGCGTTGGAGGTATGGGATGCGAGATGGTACCAGGACAAACGCTGCAGCATAATACCCTGTGCCGACTGCCACAACCGACAATGCGATTTATTGAGAAGTTGCGCGCGATGCCATCACACCGGTGGAGAATGTTCACAATGCCATAGCAAAATCAGAATTAATGTAACACATACGCTAAACGATTACAACATAAACGATACTAATTGGAATATTTGCTATTTTGATACCAAGAACATGTGTTACTCCCGTTTTATGTACAGATACGACAACAATGACTACAGCATTGAAATTGTAGTGCAGACCGACAGTGATTGTGCTAAAAGCTATTATAGTAAGTACTATCAGACTTTATATATATTTTGTACCTATTTCGGTTCTAGATGGTTTGAAGCGTCAATAGCCTTATCATCATTAGGTAGGGGGTTCGAACCCCGCCATTCGACTATTGTCGTAAACCATGTCCTAGCACAAGCATATAAAGCTTAGTTAGAATGGTACAAGAAATATTAGTAAATTAACAAGAAAATCTGCTAATATTAAAAAAAAACTATGGCATTATTTTTTTATTTCAGTGTATGGCGGTATATTTTTAATAACTCTCATCGTGATCGGCATTGTCACACTGGTCGCTTGGAAACTGTTAGTGGATGCAAGAGACAAACAAGAGTATATACGCTTTAAGAAACAACAAGAAGAGGATATGTCTGAGACATGTGTAAACCCTAGCTTCAGGCCACCCACGATGACATTCAATAATCCCGCATTCAGGAGAGGATCACTATTTCGTAATAATTAAATAAATAAACAGAATAAAATATTGTTGTATCTTCCATTCCCTCTTCTCTCTTCAAAATAATTCCAGCTTGATACCGTCACGCGTTACTGAAAAAAGGGTCTTGACAGACGGACAGACGGACAACAAAGTGATCCTATAAGGATTCTGTTTTTTTTTCCTTTCGTAGTACCAAAGTCTAAAAACTGATAAAAATTGTTTTTCTATACATATTTATAACGGCGCAATGTCATTAGCGCATGTATGCAAAATATTTCTGTTAACGCAGGCACTATGGGCCTGTATGCGTGAACTGTTTTCATAAGTATTTGTACCCACATGCTTTGCGCAATATCTCTTACCGCGCAATACTCATAAACTGAGAGCTTGCATGACGCTTGAATCGACCAGAGATTTTCATCGTTAGGCTGTAAGCGGGGATTCCCCGCATGCTGTATAACGACCGAGTTAAAGGCTAACGAAATTGCGCGAATTATATGTGAAACCAAGGGAAATTGTCTACAACTAAAAGCAATAGACATCTAGTGGAAGCGGTAAACATATCTTAGAGCTATCAGAAATAACGTTTTAACATATATTGCCATCTATCGTAAGAATTTCAACGAACTTCTTTTGGGAGTTTGTGTTAAAAAACATTTGTAGTTTGCTTTCAAAAAGAAACAAATGAAGATCAGCTGCACATGATTTAAATTGTTATTAGAATTACCACAGAAAAAAAACAAAAACATAAACGAAAGCATAGTCTATTAAGACCTTTTTCACGTGACAATCTTCATTAAGTATCTGCAACATGTCATTTTATTAAAATTTAAATACAGAAAAAGTATGATGTCACTGACTTTTCAATACATTTCGAAGAAGAAGAAGAATAAAATATCAATTGATTAATCGCTCAGCAAAGGTAACTAGGAAAGATAATTGCCAATTTACAGCTGAGTTTATAATGTCTTATAAATAGATCGTGTTATAATATAATATAATCTTGCTGGTCAGTTAAATTGTTTGATATTCGTTATAAGAACCTACCTTACGTAAAAAAATAGCAAAAGCAAATAGCGATGTTATGTTGCTAGCAACGTATTACGAGGACACAATTACTTATTTATATATTTACGTAAGTATTAAATTTTCTGTGTTGCATCAAAATAGCTCAGGTTACAAATAGATGGCGCTTTATTACACCACTACAATTTACTTAAATTCTCTTTATAAACGAAGTAAATAACATAAAATATACCTTTAGAAAATAATATTAACAATTTAAGTTATCGTGTATTAAATTTTAGTTAGTATTTGTATATCTTAATACTAACATTTAACAAAAATAAACCAGTGCGCTAAAACACACTATTAAGATTTTTCAATTGCGTAGCATAAATACAGCGGCGACTTCTATATAGTGGAGGGTCCGTTTCTACTCAGTGAGACAGTTTATGATAAGAAGCTGTGCTAATTTCTTTCATATGATATACATTACTGCTTGAATGGTTGAATTTATAAAAAGTTTCCCAATCGCGGTACCTAAAACATAACAACCAGACTATTGTCATATTACAGCCTGTATGAAAGCACTCAAGACGGGCTCAATGACAGCACTGATTGTGTGGAGCAAATGGCGCCTTTGCCATGGAACAACCGCCTGCCGTCTCAGTTAACTTAGAGTCTCCTGCCTCAACAAATTCGATTCGCATATCGACTGGCCGGAGAGACACATAGTGCAACGGGACGGACTTGTGGCTGGTTAGAAGAGGGTCTCCTTCTGGCTTAAACCCTGTCGGCTCCTCCAGTGTGAGGCCCGGAGGGATACAGCCGAAAGACCCCCGATAATGCATAAAAGCAACAACGGTTCTTCGAATCAAAGAGGGTGAATAACCTTCAACACCACTGCAGTAGAAGCTTTGACTCTCTTTTGGCTTCAATACTATATTTTAACTACTAAAGTAGATATGATTTGAATATCAATTCTTAATCACAGGAATGGTAATAATTAATAAGAAAAATGACCTTGAGAAAAGACCTGTAGAGAAAAGTGACCTTTAGTTATGTAAATACTTTTATTTTAACTTAAACTTGCGGTATTTTGGACGCATGTTCACAAACCTAATTAGAATTGGACTTATTTCTAAAAATAGCAACTTCAGTAGCCATATTATTTTGCTACTGCATTTAGCGTATGACGACGTGGACTTTCTATGTTTCTATTAGATTAGTTCGTGTTACAAGAGGGCGCTTTTCTTAACTCAAATGTAATTAGTTAAATTCTATTTATAATGATAATAAAAAATAAGAAAAGGTCCAAAAATAATGTTAATTTAAGTTATGACGAGTTTTATTTTATATTATATTTTTATATCTTAATGCTAAAATGTAATAAAAGTAAACCAAAGCGCTAAAACACACTATTAAAATTTTTCAATTGCGTTGCATAAATACAGTGGCGCCTCTTACACTGTGGAGAGTCCGTTTCTACTCAGGTAGGCAGTTCAAGATCAGAAGCTGTGCTAACTTCTATCAAGTTTGTCACGCTGCCCAATCGACCGTGTCATGTGCTGGTCCCAAAGCGCTCTCAGACTGGTCTTATCAGTGATTTGGTCTGACATCGCTAACAGACCTCACAAACGCAAAGGCGCTTCCTTGTTGCGCGCAAACAGGGAAGAGCTCGCTCTGACTCTGGATGGATGGGGAGTACTGGGAAACTATATCAACAACAACCCCCCAAGCAGACAACCGTTGTGGTGACGCTTTGATCTCCCATGTCCGTCCCCTGTGAACTGAGAAATTCGGTTCGCGGTAATTGAAAAGTGGACGGGGAAGGGAGGTCTAGTAGCGTTAACACGGCGATTGTCGCTGGATCAATTGGAAGGTCTTTCTGGCTTAAGTTCTAAGACGGAAGGACCCTCAACACCACTGAAGTAGAAGCTTCGACTCTCTTTTTGTTATAACATCGGCTATTTATAGGTCAACAAATAATTAAGACATATAGAGTAGGTACTAATTTCTGATGCTTGTTTGTGTCGTAAATTATGTCAATGTAATGCAGCCCGACAAGTCACAGCGCTCGAGACGCAAATAACTTAAACGAGACGCTTATTGGATATCTTTTCTTCTTCTCGTCTTTTTCGTCTAAAAAGCTTTGGAATCTTACTTCTTCGTTCATCGTTGAGTGTTTGTTAGATAGTATCTCCAGAACGGCTGAATGGATGTTGTTGAAATTTCGTATAGGTGTAGAACTTAGTCTGAACTTAGTTAAAACAAAAAAAATTATTTGTCAAAAATTTGACATGGCGAAATGTTGTCATATATTTTCTGTAGGAAGGTACCTAACTGACATCAGATGTAGTCAAATGAGTAAGGAAATCAAATTAGGTCAAAATGCCTGCGTTTTCAGGAACTGAAATACGATTACGTTAAAATAATTAAAAAGCTAAATATTATTGGAATATACTTGCATACATATGAATTTAATTGCGAACTTTTTATGTAGTAGTTTAATTATTTTTAAAGAAAAATATTCTTTTCTTAAATTTACTTTAGTCATTAAATTAAAAAAAAATACAAATTAAACCAATCAATTAACATATTACACTAATATATTATAATTGATTTTATTTGTTTTTTAGTTAATATAAGTGTCAAAAATATTTAACTTAACAAAAATTTTACCGAACGAATTTGAACATCCAAATACGTATAAATCAATTTTACTATGCATACAAATAATAAATATATTCGTTCTACGAGTGTCGCGAACTTCATCTAAAATGTGATTTCCGCGAATTTTCCATAGAGCGAATGATTCATCGCCAGCCATCTGATGAAGTGTAGCGAGCGGGTTCTCTGCAGTCTGTGCCGAGACGCGTGTGATAGCGCGCGTAATTCATATTTCGAACATTCGAACGCTCCGAATGACAGTTCGAGATATTTTCGCTTTAAAAATTGAATAAAAACTTTTTGCTCAAACGGACGTGTGATTAATTTTAAAAAGTTTTTAAGTCTTTAAACAATGGCTGCTAAAATGTGGTTTGTTGTGTGTGCGGTTTTAATAACTGTAAAAATCGTTTTTGGAAATGATTGCTCTAGTATAATGAAACTATCTTCTTGCGACGAGTGCATCAGATGCGGTGGTTACTGGTGTAATGATCCCACTATTGTGAGTATATTTTAAAATACAATATAAAATTAATATTTAAATTACGCTTTAAAATTAAGTGAGGGTAGTAAATATTTCTAACTTCTTATAAGGCATAATTTGAAAGACGACGTAGTACAAATTTATGTAAATATTATGTTAGCTTAAAAATCCATTAAATTTGGTGCACAACCTGTCCTGATATGACGAAATTATTGACTAAAGCTAATATAACTCTCGTTAGTTAATCTGTTTTTTATCAAAGTAATAATTTTAATGATTGTGAATGGTCAAATTTAATTAGTTTTAAGGAAACAATTCCTAATTTGAAATCTACCAAAATACAAAAAGAAAACGTAATGAACGTAATATCAAAATGACGTTAAAAATTATACAATTGATTCGAAATTTATAATTTAATGGCGTTTAAAAAACAGACGTAAATTATTTAAAAAAAAATAAATGAACGCGTAAAGAATGTCGTCAAAGGAAAAAAGGAGAGATCAGCCGGAGAACGGAAGGAAACAATTGAGCCAATATATTTGATAAACGCTGCTCAAGTATGGAGTCGATCTATTTTTGATACGGACCCTTTTATATCTACACTAATATTTTATAACTCACAGTATGATCAATGTTATAGTTAATAAATTGCATTATTAATTAGTACATGATAAAATAGTGTCGTGAAATGCCTTACCGTTGCTATAGAAAATTATACATAAGTTACGTGAGATTGACAGCCCTGGATTACTGGATTCCTATCCTCGCCACTACAAAAGACCTCTTCCCTAACTATGTACATTTATTTTCATGTTTCATTGAGTTCATTGGGACAACATTATAATAAAATGTTTTTCACAGCGTTTTCGGGAATTAAAACACACTGAGAATGCTTGTATTATTTGTTTTTTTCATCTCATTTTCCTTGCCTAATCCCTCAAATATTCCAGTGTGTGTTGTTGTTCCAATCATGGTATATCCTAGTATTATTATAAATGCGAATGTTTTGATAATTGATGGATGGATGAATGGATGGTTGCTTGAAGGTATCTCAGTTATAGCTGAACGCATCTAGCTGAAATTTTGCATAGATGTAGAACATAGTCTGAAAGAACATAGAGCCTACTATTTCGTTTTTTTTTAATTTCCGAGCGGTCAGTCATGGACGACAGCTAATGGTATATAAAATTGCAAGTTTTTTACCAAAAATAATTTTAAATTAATAAAATAATAGTATTATTAATTATTTAATTATTGGGAACGCTCAACAAAAGTTTCTTTGTACGCTACGCGTCACTGGCCCTACTTTAGCTTTGTGGTTATTACTCATACTGTTCTGTGTAACTTCTTAGTGGACACGTATACATCTTTTTAATATCTTACATTCATATGGACATAAGCATTTTTTTAAATAAAATTATTACCAACCAGTCAACCACTTAAGTTAGAAGTATGTGGCGCTTTTATTGCACAATTTTTTGGTCGTTAATGAGAGTAAAGTACTTGCTTAGAGAAGCCATGAATTTCTACATTCTACTCTCTTATGGCCACATATTAACATCAGGTGGAATTAGGTAAAGCGCAAGTTTCGTTGTTAAGAACTATACAAGCAGATTGGCTTCGAGAAGAAAATTACTAATCTTAAAAGCGGATAAAGGATTCGTTTTTGTGACTCATCTTTGACTTTACAGTAAACTTTACGGTATTACAAACATTAAGTTCAATACATTGACCACTCTGAGTGCTAATTAACGTGCTAATGACCGTGTATCGCTGTAATTGTATGCACAAATAAACGGAAATTAGGACGTTCCGTTCGTTAAAGCAACTCTATCAGACACCTAGAAATTATTTAGAGAATCCCCTCGACTTTTATTTGACAGTTTTGAATGGGATACTAAAAACAATGCATTTTCATACGTAGTTATGTTTAAGGGTGAGTCTAGACGGGGTTAATGTCCGATGAATGGCCGCACGTCTCATCTTTCTATTCTTTTAACTTACACTAATGTTTTCTTGAGATAATAAAGATATGTTTTGACCCTTCCCTTATTTATATTATTTAAAAATAAAGGCATGATTAATTATTTAAAAAAATATGTTTACTACTATATTACGCATTAATTGTGGAACATTTTAATTAGTTTTAAATCGCTACCGCTATTATGTCGTAGTTTACATATTTTTTATTGTAGATAAGCTATCTATCGTTGATAACGAAATAACTTTTACATATGCATTTACGAATTCACTTTGGAGTGATAAAACAAAATATTAACGGAGCTATAAAAAAAGACGTCGAAAAATTATATAAAAATAGTTTAGTTGTTTTTCTACAAAAAAAATTGTTATGCAAATCCTTGATCTTCTTGCATGTAATTTAACCCTTAGTAGCCAACAGTTTCAATTTTGATACCAATCTTTTAAACCGAATGTTCACATTACTATTAGTTTTTTTTATAGGTTGGCTGTACTTATTTTACTGTTGTATAATATTCTTTCCAACGAAATTAAAAAAAAAACAAATTTCATTATTGTTTTATTTCATCAAGCAAACACAGTTATATTAAAAATAAATCACTTTCGTATGTAAATCAGGCTACTAAAGGATAAGGTTTCGTATTATGCGTTCAAGATGTTTAGTAACGCAAATTATAGTACCACTATAAAGAAGGTTTTAGGTAATGAATTTATAATGGTATGTCAATAGCACCCTAGTCTCAACGTCCCATTAACGGAAACATTGTAATGTTTGCACAATACTGCAGTACGTGGTGTTTGTAAATACGTAGTCGGCATCGACCCCTAGTATTTAAATAAAAACTTTATCGTAACGTTATATAAGCATAGTTCATAAAGAATGAATAACCAATACAAAGAGGTTAAAACAAAAAATAAAACATGGTTAAAGACGACGGAAAATGTAAGGATGGAAAAAGCGTTAGGATTATGATGAATTTTGGAATATTATTTTATAATAAAAAGATAAAATGAAAATATTAAATAGAATTATTAGAAATAAAGAGAAAAGCACGCACTGTTACATAATATATTTACAACTGATGGTTTTAAAAATAGAGAAAAAGGAAGAAAAAACATATAAAGTTCTAAATTCAAAAATATAACAATTATGAATAAAAACGTGTAAAAAGTTCCGTATCTGTCGGCAACAATTTTAAAAGCTGGACTTAGTAAGATTAAAAATACTCTAGATGCAATTTTCTAACGTTACTTATCCTATAAAGTTGTAAAGGGAAAAGATTCGTTTTTTTCTATGTATTGAGGAAATTTTTAATTGATCACTTTTTAAAAAAAATACTGAGTTATCCAGAAATATAGTATAGTGACAGGCGACGTCGGGCACGTACAACTAGTATCATACAAACTTCCATTATAATGATGACCTGGCATAAAACTAAAGTGAGTCTAATAGCGCGATCGATTTCAGAACTTCCTGTACAACCCTAATTTCCAATATCCGCACTTAGCTGAAAACGAGGTTCAATGGAAAACAAAGGATAAAGGAAAATTTAAGGCGCTTTGCAGACGGAGCAACTCTTGTAACAACTCACAGCCGATTTTCCATTGAGTTCCGAATTCCGACAATCGCAACTGCTATTACTACAACTTTTATATCTGTAACAAGCAACTGCCAGATTTTTTAATTACCAAAGTTACCCAGATTTTCCATAATACATCAGTGGTGCGGATTCTAGTATTAAATTCTCGTTGTCAAATGTCATAAAATTGTAACATCTATAATACCGTGTTTTTAAAGGTAAGTAAAAAAAGTAGCCGCAACTAAAGTTGCTACGTCTATGAGCCGCCTTATATCCCGCACAGCGTGATTCATTACCATTGTAAATCCATTGGAAATCCGCCATGTTTGTGTATTATGTGTTAATTCATCATATTTATATTCCTGTCGTATCCCAACAGATGTTTTACAATAGCCCTTATCTTCTTTACTATTGTCACGTGGACGAATTAAAAAAACTAACGTTAGTAACTGGAGTAGAGCCAAAATGTTGAAAAGCTAGATCTTTATCTATGGTTTTGGTAATAAGCCCAGATGTTCTTGGCAGAAAAACTATTATAGCGAAAATTTTTCTTCTAACTTACTAGTACTAGTTCTTCTTCTAGTGCCTCTTCAGTCTTGAAGGTTTCGCTAAGTACTAGTTATAATTTTATAAACTCTTTGCATCTATTAATTTCTAATATTATTTGTTATCTATAATGTTAAACAATTCCCTCAACAGATGTAGTAACTTCAGTACTAGACAACTTTCTCTTTTTTGTCAAGATATATTAATTAGTGTCCGAGTCTATAGTCTAAGAGATGTCGAAATAAAAAGATAACTATATTAAGAACTTTGCCGTGCAGCATTAACCTTTTAAAATGGTTTAAGTTAGACCAAGTTTTATATAGTTAACGTTAGATTTGAAGGCAACTTGCTTGCTCTATGCCTTAAAAAGCCACATCGTTGGCTGAGATATTTGTAAGGACGACGGGCCACATAGTTTATAAAAAGGTGTTACGTTTTTAATAATTTAAGTTTAAGACTAATTAGGCCGTATATGCGATTAGCGACAGCACACAAAATACAGGAAATTTATCTTTAAACGTGTAATCATAACTGACAATTTTAAACTATGAAAAATAAGAAACTGAATGACAAATATGAGATATATGAAATATGTTTAAATGCATTAAATATATGTAAACTAGTATTGTGATTTTATTAAATTTTGATAGACAAAATACCGTAGAGTTATGAGTGCATAGAAAGTTTGTGGCATTTTATCCTTGATTGTAATATGACTCATTAGTCAAAACATGCGTAATGTAAAAAATAAACATAGGGGTTGTTAAAATGTACACAATTTTAATTAACATTACTCATTTACAAACCCCATTTGCATTGTCATTTCGACTCTACAATTGTTACTGTTTAAATATATGAAAATTTGTTTTAAGCATAAACATATGTTTCATGTGTTATTTAAAGAAATAAAAA